GAGAGAAAGAGAGGCAAGGAGGGAAAAAAATTAAAATAATGAAGATTGCACAAATACCTAAATGAGAGGTTTAAAATATTTATAAGGACACAAGTCCCTCAATTTAAGCTATACATTTAATGTAATTTAAATTAAAACCCAAGAAAGTGTGTATGTGTGTGGTTTTTGGTAGAGAAGGGGAAGAGTTCAAAAAGGTATTCTAAACTTCAAGTAGAAAAATCATAGAATGACCCTCCCCCGACCCCAAACACACATACAGAAAAAGGGGAAAAAAATACAGTAAGAAGGGAGACTTTACACTATCAAATTAGAATATTACAAAACCTCAAAAGTTAAGACAGTGTAATTCTGGTATAGAAACATATAGATAGATGAGGAGAAAAATATAAAGTCCAGAAACAGATCTCAGTACATAATGAAGAACTGCATCTTATTCAGAGATTAGATTATAAAGTTATCACACAAAGTGAAAATTCTCATACAGGCAAAAATTACCCAAGAAAAGTCTTGGATCATGTCAAAATCAGTAGAAACTGAACCATAGGAAGCTCAGAAGTCAAGAACTAACTTTTATTGTTTCTCTTTACATTTCATCTCCCTCACCTCCACAGTCTTTAGTCAAAATGCAAGGATGATATACAGTGCTATTACAAAGAATTAAGTATTTGATGAGAGCTGCTATCCTATTTAGTGAGACCACAATCCTATATAATAAAAGGCTAATATGCAAATAGACCAAACGGTGGAACAACCAAACAACCAAATAACTGGTCACTATGACGTGCGCTGACCACCAGGGGGTGGTGGGCGCTGGCTGCGGCGGGATGGTGGAGCAGGTGAGTGGGGGTGCCAGACCAAGGCGGGACGAGCCTCTGGTGGTTACTGAAAATTCTTTGCTCCCGTGCGCCATGGTCCCACCCAGCGCTCACACCTGCTGCCGGCGCCAGTCCCACTCATACACACTGCCAGTGCCAGCCCTGCTCGCACCTGCTGCTGGTGCCTGGCGCTGGTCCTGATCACTCAGCGCCATCAGCAGGTGCAAGCAGTGGCTGTCGGCCCCAATCACCCCTGAGGGCTTCTCTACCTCTCCCTGCTCCTGAGGGGCGATCGGGGCAGCAGCCACCGCTCGTACTCACTGACCGCACTAGCCCCACTCACTCTCGCTGCTGGTCCCAATCGCTCCGCGCCATCAGTGGGTGTGAGTGGGCCAACACTGTCAATGCATAAGAGCAGCAGTGGCAGGAGCGTGGCTGCCAGCAGACAGGGGATCAGGGGCTGCAGCAGGAGGAGCCAGGCGGGGGCATGGAGGATGGGCTGAGACCCGCCCCTGTGCCTACCACAGCCTCGCAGCCCACAGTTCAAGGTGAATGAATTTGTGCACTGGGCCCCTAGTAATATAATAAAGAGTATGGAATAGTCTGCAACATGGCCCAGGTAAGGATGGCACCTTTGCCCTTATCCATCATACCAGGAAAGAAGCAGCTGTGGGAGAGGCTGCAGGCACTACTACCAGACACATGCCCAGCCTTATCCAGGCAGCTGAAGGTCAGCACTTTTGCTGTATTTGAGGAAGGTAATGAAAACCTACAGATCAAGCCTTAAGCATCTAAATGAGAATACTCTAAAAATTTTAAGTAGCAAAAATGTTGTTCAATAGGATCAAGATCCCATTTAGGGAGCCTTGACCTAGGGAAAGAAAGATTTCATGGGGTGATGTCACTGAGCACCACAATTAGGAAAAAAATCGTTTCAACTTTTCTCAACACCCAATGCCCCTCCATTAATCAACCACACCTTCATATATATGAATGCTTTTGAAAAGTGAAATATTATAGTAGCAGACTTTGTATAGTAAAATTGGGAATAATTTCTCTAACTTTTACATTTTCCATACTGACCATGTACTTCATTTGTTAAAAGAAACTTGCAATATTATAAAAAAGAAAAAACATAATATGAAAGAACACCTCCATTCAAGTTAAATGTTAAGCTAACATCTACATGCTTTCATTTTATGTAAGATTAATCTACCAAAGTTTCTAGCAAGAAAAGAACTCACAGTAGGGAGGAAAATATGACTTTTCTGTATTGTTAATGTTAAAGAAATTATTTTAAAAGGCTAGAAGAAACAGCAAGCATATAAACCATTCATTCTGTAAGATGATTCATGCAAAATCACTTTGTACAACATAACAGTTACAAAAGTTATCCTAATGCAATGAAAACATCAAAACCTGAAATATGGTAAAAATTATATTTTCCTTGTCAAGGAATTTTTCAGTGTTGCAAGTTAGTCATGATTTGTGAATCTCATTGCATCAAAATAAAGGTGACCAAATGTTTTTGGAAAAGTAATTTCACTCTAAAAACCCATGATAATTTAAGATATTTACTCATACACTCACAGCTAAACAGTAATATCAAATGTTAAGAGCTCGGGGGTACAAAGGACTGAATTCCAAAACTAAGGAACATTTAAATAGGTCAATGATTAAAGTACATTATTCAGTATTTTTTGTAAAGTACAAAACGTGGTAAGACCTTATAAAAACTCTGGCACGTGTTTCCCTCACATATTATGAACTTCATTGGCAGGTTAAGTCAAAACATCATCACAGGTGAAAATTAGTAAAAATGGTGGAATAAAGAACTCCAAAGTGCAGCCCTCCATAAAAGCAACGAAAAAAAATGGCACAACTGTCACAATCAGCTTTCTTGGGATTCGGGAAACTAAAGCTTGCCGCAGCCAGGAGAGCACTTTATGAAGAAAAACCAGGACATTTCAGTAAGAACAGAGAGTTTTGTGGTATATTACCTTACCTTAGTCCCATCCCCCAGCTCTCCAACTCAGCAGTAGCCTTGAAGTAAGACTGCATTTCAGCCACCAGTACCAGAGGAGCAGAACGGGGCCTCATTCTCAAATAATTTTAATTATTTGTTTTGACCTGTCTGGTGGCTTTTAAAAACAAAACAAGTCCAAAAAAAGTACTTGCCCTATTTTGTCCAACTCAGCATTCAACCAGTGCTAAAGGGACCATATGGAAGACATTTACCAGCGAATATGTTAGTTGCTGCTGCCTGAGTTCATGGGTAATAGTTGGACTGAACAGTAGCCTAACTGACAGCTTTGAGGAAAGGGCGGGGAGAGAGTAAGGGCTTTAGGGAATAAGGGCTTTGAACAGCTCTGACATATTCCTGGGAATCCACAAGACCACACACATGCTGAAAGACCCAAAGAGAGCTGGGTGGCCATACAAATATCAGAAAAAAACACGCCTGAAGACAAAAATTGTTATGTGAGAGAAAAGACATTTTAAAATGACTAGAGGCCAATGCATGGATTCGTGCACCGGTGGGGTCCCTCGGCCTGGCCTGGCCTGGCCTGGCTGCCGTAATTGGCCAAAACAGGCTCTCTGACATCCCCCAGGGGTCCTGGATTGCGAGAGGGCAGTTCTCGGGTGACGCACCCAGGAATCAGGCTCCCTCCTCTCTGGTACTGGGTGCATCACCCAAGAACCGCAGCTGCCAAGTCACCACAGCTCGGCAGCTCCTGCATTGAGCGGCGTCTGCCCCTTGGTGGTCAGTGCGCATCATAGCTACCAGGCGGAGCCTCTGTCCCCTAGTGATCATTGCGTGTCATAGCTACAGGTCGGACAGTTGAAGGGTCACTTAGGCTTTTATATATATAGATTTTAAAGAAAGGCAATCCATCAAGAATATCAAGCAATTATAAATATATGTAAACCTAAGACAGAGTCCCAAAATACATAAAGCATAAATTGATAGAACTGAAAGAAGTAGGAAATTCAACAATAATAGTTGACTTCAATACACTACTTTCAATAATGGATATAAAATCTAACAGAAGGTCCAAAGGAAACTGAAAATCTGAACAACATAAACCAAATAGATCTAACATATCTACAGAACATTCCACCCAACAAGAGCAAAATATACATTCTTCTCCAGGGCACCTGAACATTCTCTAGGACAGACCATATGTTGGGCCACAAAACAGGTCTCAATAAATTTTAAAAGATTAAAGTTATACAAATATGTTCTCCAAAAAAAAATTAGAAACTAATAACAGAAGGAAATTTGGAAAATTCACCCTGGATATACTTGCTTTTCTCTAATTTTGCCAAGTATGTACCCTAAACATTATAATAGAGGTTTTGGCCAAGGCAATTAGGCAAGAAAAAGAAATAAAATGCATCCAGATTGGAAAGAACAAAACTATATTTATAAGATGGCATTATCTACTATATAAAACAAACAAACAACAACTAAGGTATCCACAAAAATATCTATTAGAGTTAATAGAGTTCAGTAAGTTTTTATACTCTATACCGTTTTGGAAGCTTTATAACCTGGAATTACTGAGATTTTTCATATCAGTGATGCTCTTTGCAAATACCTAAGTAGTTTAAGATAAAAATTCAATTTACTTTAAAATGCTTAGTTTAACAGAATCAATTCTATGTTAAACATGGCTAATTCTGACATTAGGGAATCAGAGTATCATTTTGTGTCAACTGCCTCTGTCTAAGAAACCACCAGATGAGTCACAGGAGAAAGAGCACAGAACTTGGAATTGGCCACTGGCAGAGAAAGCCAACCTCTATGGAACGCTCTAATTAACAAATTTGTAATTAACAAGTGTAACCTAAGCAAAAAGATAAATCACTAAAAACCATTTCCCCAGATTAGACAGGCCTAAGCAAGCCTCAAGTCAGTCAGATGTTTCAAAACAACAAGGAAAGACTCTAAGGGACTTCATATTTCAACAATAATGGACATTCTAAAAAGTCTGAAATACCCCAGTAAGGGGTGGGAATTAAAATAAGCTCCAGGAAAAGATTAGCTTTAATAAACCATTAAATTCAGTAAGATCTGTCCACTATTATCAAATCAATAAATATTGATATTTTTCACAATCAACTAATCCTCCCAAAACCCATACCTCCATCCCCCCCAAAAAGGAAAAGAAAGGCATTTACCTCTTCTAAGCTAGGGAGCGAAGAAGAAGATACTGTTCGAGATGACAATGAGTGAAATGGCTCTTGACCAATAGCGTGTTGATGATTCTGTATTTGTACAAAAGGGTTTTGTGGTGGCCTGTGAGGCAATGGAGGTAGGCCATAGGGAAAACCTGGCCCCACTAGGTGATTCTGTTGTAAGTTAGCAAAAGTCCATGCTCCATCAGATGCCAGGTATTTCAAGGGAGGAGGGGCAAGGTGTTCAGATGGCAACGAGAAAGGCGAGCTGAATATCTGGGGTGGTAGTCGCTGCGGAAATGCTGGGTTGTTGGCTACTTCAACGTCTCTGCTATTGTCGTTCAAGTTAGAAAAATGGCTACTGTGGTCTGTACTGGAAGGGGGAGAGGGGACTGCTGGTGGGCTCCTAGTCTGAATTTGTCTATACTGCAAAAGTCTTGATTGAGGTGGTGGCATCTCAGCTAGTTCCCGTGCTTCACTTTGATCACGATTGGACAGTTCTCTGAGTAAGTCCTGAAACCTACATGAAGACGATGAAATGTGAGGAGGAGAAAACAAAAGAAAGGCTCCATCATGTTAAGGAGAGCTTAGTCAACTACGTGTGCAATTTCTACAAACAAAATCATAACACATAACTTGAACTAACATTAATTAATCTCAAATATAAGCATTAATACTCGACAGATGTGGAATTAAAGACACTAAATATGTTCAAGTACCTGATTTCTTTCTTCTCCCTTTGTATTAAAAACAACTGTCCTAGTCTCTACATGCCCTTGATAACTGGCAGTGATAAAAGGTCACCATAATGGTGGGCCTTAATCAGAAGGGATTAGGAAACACTTCGGTGCATTCACATGACACTAGCCCTAAAAACAAATTTAGAGTCAGTAATGAAAACTCATAAATACCTGTAGTTAAAAGAAGGTAGAATTCTGTGCTACTAGGAAAAAGTCAGTAACAAATTTCTAATTTTTAACCACTGATTTACTTCTGTCTTCATTCATTCTTTATAAGTATTATTACTGAGTAAGAAGAAAAAATAAATTACTGAGTAGGACAGTATGTTTCTCTTTTAGAAGAGACCCCACATCACTTCTCGGCCTTTCGGCTAAGACCAAGTACAGAAGAGACCACGAAGCACAGAGCCATGTTAGCTTAGAGTTTACAGCAGGCTGCCCATACCCAGATTTGCTGAGTTAAACTGATTCTCTATATTTCAGGGTCAATCAATAGAACTGTGTAGTATGTGCCCAGAAGGCCAGTATCCAATTTCTTTGGGAAAATATTCCAACTTAAGGCTAAAAGGATAGCATTCAAGAATGAAAAGAGTAGGTGGGTCATGTTTGAGGCTGGTTTTAGTTGCTAAAATACCTTGACTCTGTTGTTTCTGCTTCACCTTCGGCACTGCTGGGAGGCTTCCAGTCTGCCCTCACTGGCGGCTGATGTAATCCAATGGGCGGCTGAGGAAGATGCTGGAGGTGAGGATGAGGCTGTTGATGGTGTGAGTATGGAATACTGCCCTGACTCAGGTAGGCGTGATGCTCATTCCACTGCTGTAACCGCACCTGTTGCTGTCGTAATGTGTCCAGGGCTACACTCCCATGCATACGATCTGCAAAAACATTTGCGAAAAGTTTAAGTTTTCATGCATTCAGGGTTTCCAGTAACTTTTTTCAAGAGTTTTTACAACCAGATTTTCTCCACAAAGAATTGGCTACAGTTTGGGCTTTGGAGAAAGCAAATGTTTTTTAAATTTGCCAGTAACCAGAGTTATCATAATGATGATGATGATAATCACATAACCTGCCATCGACTGGATGCTTAATGTTATATATAGCATTTGGAACTAGATTCTGATTATTACACTAAGTGATTGATTTTTGCTGGCATTATTTAAAGAAATGAATCAAACCTGATCCACATTAATACTGCAAAGTACATGTCATTTTAAGTAAATAAGCTCTGAAGTTGTCACATTCGGCAGTGACAGGGGAACTTACCTAAAGCCTCTCCTATCGGCAATCCTGGGGGGTTCTCATCAGTGAAGTTATTCAGATGTGAAGGAAGAAGGGGGCCAGGCTGTGCAATGGCTCGCAAGGGACTGTGGCCTTCTTGCAGCATGGGAGGGGGCTGCTCAGGGATCACAGCCTCTGCAGGAGGGGACTGTGGTCGATGAGAAACTGCATTATTTAAAAAAGCATTGTTGGGCCCTGCCTGGTAGGCAGGAGAAAGCTGAGGAGGTGGCTGTGGAGGCAGCTGATTCAAAGGATTCTGCTGCTGGACTACCTGATTTGGTTGGGGTGGCATTTGGTTTGCTTGTTCAGGCAAATTATTCTGCTGCTGGTTTAACAAGGCATGCTGCTGTGGAACTGGAAATGGTGCTCTTGGTAACTGGGGAAGGGGATGAAAATGGCGACCGGGGATGGCATACTGTGCAGGGGGAGCAGGAAGGGGAAGGTTTATGTGTCTTGGGTTGAGATTATCTTTGCGATGAAATTTGGTATTGGGATAAACAACACCAGGACGTGATTCAGGACTTCTGTTCTGTGGATTGGATTCCAAATCAATCTAGGAAAAAATGAGAAGTCTTTTTTAACAGTGGAAAATCCAAGTCTGGTGGCTCTCCTCCTTTCCCCACCCCTAGCACATCTTAAGGATATTATACATTCTTATCAGTAATAGCAGGAGTACAGGGTACCCAATCAATCACTTTCTGACAATAAAATTAGGGAATAAGTATTTTTTAAATTAAGAAAGGTGAAACAGATAAACAGCATATTAAATCTGAGTCATAAGAAGAGATATTGCCATTTTATTAACATATCCACTTTAATTCCTTCAAAAAACATTATTTTTAATTTCACACTTTCTTCCTTAGAAGATAACCATTTCTCTCTTTAGGATATAAATCATTAAAATGTGTTCTTTCCTTCTGGTTTTATTATTTTTATATCTCTTTCTTCAAACATACATCTATTAATTTAAAAAACATGAAGTGAACAAATAATTTATATATCACCTTTGTATAATCAGTTTGGTTATCAATTTTTGCCATTAGTTACTGACATTTATTTATTCTTTCAAGAAACAATTTTTGAGGGCTTTCCAAGGGCATTGTACCTGGTGCTGGAGATTAGACAGCAAAAGAGGATTTAGTCTGTGCCCACAAGAGCTTAGAGCAGCAGGGGTTGACCAGCTATGGCCCCCAGGCCATTTCCAGCCCAACAGACTTTTGTAAGTTTTGCTGGAACACAGCTCATTCATTTACATGCTGGCTATGGCTGCTTTCTCACTATAGTGGCAGAGTTGAGCAGTTGCAACAGAAAACATGACCCACGAAGCCTGAAGATTTACTATCTGGTCTTTGGCAGAAAAAGTTTGCTAAGCCCTGGCTGAGAGTCCAGTAGAGGACACCAACACGTAAATATAAAATGAGAAGTGCTGTAATGGAAATGATGAGATCCTAGTGCCTGGAAAAATTAAAAGTGGCTTTACACAGGCTACAGCAATTCTACTGAATTTTGCATAAAGAGCTGGAATTTTCCAGGGAGGGAAGGGCATTCTCGGTAAAGGTAATAGCTTATACAAAGGTGGAGAGAGGATAAAAAGTAGGCACATTTGAAGAGCATGAGAAGTTTTGTGTACAGAGAGGTGGAACTTCACTTGTTTATGTGTTAGTTTTCCCCTTCTTGACAAATGAAGATGCAAGAGTTCAATTACACATGACCTCTTGAATGATTCAATACTGGGCATAAACATTTTTTCAATCCTGTAAATTGTGGCAAGTTCCAAAGGCTTATAAATAAACTAGGGAATGCAGCCATCCTGAAACATGAGTCTGATTGTAAGTGATGGCAACGTGAAAAATGAAATATAAGGCGGAAAGAAGCAATTTTTGTTTTTCATCTCTGACAAAGCACTCAATGAGCTCCTTTGGTACATCAATGTCCTTACAAGTTTCAATGTTGAAATAGTCACTGAAGATTACTTGCCTCACCAAAGGCTCTCAAGTTAGAAATGGAACTGGCCACTCCCAAGAACACAGAACAACTAGCTTGTTCCTGAACTGAAGCTGAGGTACACCTAGTGAGCAAGCTATGGCAACTGATGGTTTCAATGTGCCAGTCCAATCCCAAGTGCACTCTCATCTCTAATCACTAGCTCTAATGGATTGCCATTACATTGGGCCAATAAGTTCCTTAAGATTACTAGGTGTATACAAATTGTCTAGAAAATGAAATGAGCAGGATGACCACTCTGTCCCAGTGGGCCCAAGCTGCTGCAATACCTGCTTTTCAAATGTCTCAGAGCCTGATTAAGGTTCTTTATAAACAAACATTTTGCCCCATAAATTTTTTTATTTTAATTACTGACACTACATTCAGCTGGGATGCACTTTTTCAAAGACTGTTGATATGCACACTTTGATTGCACGAGAGAGACCATGATTAGATGTCAAGGTTGTTTGTGGATAAGAGCTGTTCTAATTGCCTCCTTCACTTCTAACTTTGACATAGACCAGAGAAATTTAGATCAAGATGTGCTACTTTATGATAGTACAAAGGGCTAGGAGAATAGAGAACTGTAAGGTCTGAAGGAGTCTGGGTCTACAATTATCAGAATTAAACAATCACTTTCCTCTTAATAGTGAGTTCCTGACTCAAGGAGAACTAGGAAGTCCTCTCCCCGCCCCCACCCCTTTGCAGGACAAAGCATCAGGGTAGGAAAGAAAATAAAACATGTCCATTGGGTTGCCTAGTCTCCTAACAGGGAAGGATCATAACGGAAATTTTAAAACAAGGACCTAAAAGACACTTAGCTATCCTGGCTTCAGTTGCTCTGATAGCACCTAAAACTCTTATCCTGGATTTTGACTACCACTACACTGTCCCAACATGCCCTGTTCTCTCCCTGCTCCTCTCCCAAATACACATGACTTCCACTTTCACTGCCACAGCCTCTTTCTCTATTGGGAACTTCCCTGGCTGCCTCATTCCCACTGCAGCCCCTTCAGGGGCACTGAGTCCTTCCAGCTGTTGAAACTGAGTGAGAGCTACTTATGAGACATAAATAACTGACTATAGAGAGCAGTTGCTCAAAGCAAGGCTGGGGTTGGAGATCCAGATTTGGAAGTCATTATCATGGAAATGGACTAGTGTATAATAAGAAACCATAGTATGCAAGGAGAGGTGTGGGGCAGTGACAGAACCCTGAAAACCCTCAACTTAAGGATTAGGAAAAGATGGGAAGGAGGTGGACAAGAACTTATAAAAGAGACAGAAGGTCATGTTAGAAAGAACTGTGAAAAGTAAAAATGTGTGTCACAAAAACCGAAAGAAAGTAAGATGGTCAAGATGAAAGAAGTAGAAAATAGTGCCAAATACCAAAGATAAGTCAAATAAGACTACAACTGAAGCATGTGCATAGCATTTGGTCCCTTAGAACCCAACAGTTTTGATGAAATGTTGAGGCCTGATACTAGACTGTGCTAGTTAAGAAACATAAAAATAAAGATGAGGTAGGAAGGAGAAATTAGGTAGTAGCTATAAGAAGATGAAGATAAAGAAAGTGTCTTTTTAAAAAACAGTCTATCGATCAATTTACTTATGGACTGAGGAGGAAGAACCTGTAGCTAGAAAGAATCCAAAGATAAATGAGAAGAGGAAACAAGGTCGGTGAGGTGACCAAGAGAGAGATTAGTTTTAATGAGAACTTCTTCTCTAAGCCTGGTGATAAGGAAGCAAAGATGTTCAAGGATGTAGAAAAGTGCTAAGTTTAAGGTTTTAAGTTAACAAGGTGAAATCCTGATGACCGAAGTCTAAGGCAAAATCGTCTCCTGATCAAAAGGATAACAGAAGTTAGAAGATAATCAGGCATGAGAAGAGCTGCTGAGAAAATTGGGCAAAAGAAGCTGGGTACATGTAAAAGAAATGTGGGAGAGCACCTCGGGTTCCCTGAGGTTAGACAACATAAATGTGCGATGGCACTAATTCAGTCAATAATTTGGTTTTCCCTAACTAGCTCACAAGCACAGAAGCAGATAAAGTAGATGAACAAATGGATAAAGAGTTAAGGATTTATACAGTGGGTCTGAGGCGAGAACAAGGTGAGTGACTTGAGAAAGTTAAGTCTTCCTCTGAGGAAGTTAATTTTTCCTTCTTCTTCACTATACAGCTTCTTCTATTCTGAGAATTATTTTTTAAGACAATTTTTAATGACATATCTATTAGCCATGTCTTCGCTGACTACTTTATCATGGAAAGTCTCTAAGTTCAAGTCTATCACCGATATCATAATTTGAGAAAAGTATACTGATAAATTAATAATGTAGCCAAAAAAAAAAAAAAAGATGGAAGGAGAGAGGGTAACATGACCCACCAGACCACTGTGAAACAATAACATTAAAAATACACATAAAAAGGTAAATTTTTTATAAAACATTAAGATTCCAAGATGACCAATCAGACTAACTCCATTAGAATAATGCAGTCACTAAATGTAAGCAGCATACCTGTTTTGATTCTGTAAGCTTTTTCTCTGGTGTTCGAATCTTATTAATTTCAGGTCCAGGATTATTTGTATCACTTTTACCTAAGAAGATATTTTAAAATTTTTATAAATAGTCTCCAGTAAGGATGTTATATTTCCAATGACTACCCAATATTAGACAAAAGAAAATACTTTAAACATTTTTCAGCCATTATTATCAATTTGTATTACTGCTTGAGTTTTGTTCTTAAATTTTCAGAGGCAGTTTCTCTGCAAGAAAGAAAATTTATAAATATAGCAAACCACATTGACAAGGCAAAAGCTTTATAAAAGGATAATCTTAAAACATCAAATAATTCCAAAGATAACAGCCCAATCTCCAGGTATTTACAGCCTAATTTTTCTTAAACTAGACATAGAAAAAAACCTGGCATTCTTGCTTATTTATAAAGGTTCAAAAATTTGATCATTTATAAATGCAATTAAGCAAAATCCAAATAACGTGTCAATCTAATTTAGTAAAGGAATCTAAACTGAGTAAAGATATTCTGAAATGTACGTATGCTGTTTAAAAGTAATAGATATTGAACTAAATATAAGTGAAGGAAGCAAAATTAAGGTTAAAAATATCACAATTATAACAGACAATGCCATTTCATGCATGTGAAAGGCTTTTACTATATAAGAATTAACTGATGGAAATTTTCAATTCCTGAAAGAATCCTTGATTTGGGTTCTTGTTCAAAAACATAGGACCGAAACTTTAAAATGAATTACTACTAACCTTCAAGAAATAAGAACTACAATGTCTGAGATGAAACACACACTGGATGAAATTAGCAGCAGATTAGACAATGCAGAAGAAAAGATTAGTGAAGCTGAAGGCAAAATATGCAAAATAAAATACAAAAAGAAAATTGACTTTTTTTTTAAATGAAAAAGCACCTGTGAAGTGTGGGGAAACTTTAAGCAGACTAATATACGGGTAGTTGGAATTCCTGAAGAAGAGAGAAGGTTAAGACAGAAAAAAAAATCTAAAGAAATAAAGAGTTAAAACTTTCCAAACTTGATGAAAACTGTAAACTATCCAAGAAGCCCAACAAACCCCAAACACAAGAAGCATGACGAAAACTATACCAAGAAGTGTTATAATCGAATTACTAAAACCAGTATAAAAGAAACTCTTAAAAGCAGGCACGGGAAAAAAGACACATTTCATACAGAAAACAAACATAAGGGTGATTTCAGATTTCTCTGAAAAACTTCACCACCAGCAGACCTGCACTACAAGGAATGTTAAAAGAACTTCGGGCAGAAGGAAAATTGTATCAGATGAAAACATGAATATATAGAAAAAAATAAATATTACCAGAAATGCTAACTACATGGGTAATATAAAATATTATTTTTCTTATTAAAAACTCTTTAAAAGTACACGGATATTTTAAGAAAAGTAACAATGTTTGGAGCTTATAACATATGTAAAAGTAAAATGCATTATAACAATATGATAAAGTCAAGAAGAGAGAAAAATGAAATGTTGTAAGGTTCTTTTACTGTACATGAAGTGGTAAATATAAATTGTAAACTAGACTGTGGTAAGTTTAAGATGTATACTATAAACCTAAAGAAAATACTAAAATAATAGTTATAGCTAATAAGCCAATGAAGGACATAAAAGGGAACCATAAAAATATTCAAGCAATCCAAAAGAAGGCAGAGTAAAAGAAGAAAGGAAACAAAAAAAACAGTTTGGACAAATTAAAAAAAACCGATAGAGCAAGATGATAAAAATCAAGCCTAACTATATTAATAATCACCGTAAGTATAAATGGTCTAAACAATCCAATTAAAAGAAAGAGATTATCATATTGGATTTTTAAAAAAATCAAGAGCCAACTATAAGCTTTCTAAAAGAAATGCATTTGAAATATAAATACACTAATAGATTAAAGGGTCAATAAATGATATACCGTAATAACAATAGTTAAAACAATTATTGATATTAAGCAAAGTAGATCTCAGAGCAAAGAATATTACCAGGGATAAAGAAGATCATTCCATAATGGTAAATTAGTTAATTAATTAAAAGCACAGTATTTTAAATGTCTATGTACCTAACAACAGAATTTCAAAATTCATCAAGCAAAACTTAAAGAAAAATAGACATATACTAATTATATTTGAAGATTTCTATTTTTATTTTATATATATATGTATATGTATTTACATATATTTTAATATAGAATGCTTCACAAATTTGCGTGTCATCCTTGTGCAGGGGCCATGCTAATCTTCTCTGTATTGTTCCAATTATAGTATATGTGCTGCTGAAGCAAGCACTTAAAGATATCTTTTTTATTGATTTCAGAGAGGAAGAGAGAAGGAGAGATAGATAGAAACATCAATGATGAGAATCACTGATAGGCTGCCTCCTGCACGCCCCCTACTGGGGATCAAGCCCACAACCCAGGTATGTGCCCTTGACCGGAATCGAACCTGGGACCCTTCAGTCCACAAGCTGACGCTGTATCCACTGAGCCAAACCAGCTAGGGCATATTTGAAGATTTCAATATTCCTCTCTCAATATTTATTTATTTTTATTAAGTAGGTAGAAAATCAGCAAGGATATAGCAGACTTAAGCAATCCTATCAACCAATTTGACCTAATTAACATTTATAGAGCACTCCTTTCTTCTCAAGGGCACAGGGAAAATTTACAAAGATAGACCACACAGTGGGTCATAAAACAAAACTCAGTAAATTCAAAAGGATTCGATTCATATAAAATTTGTTCTCTTACCACAATGAAATTAAAGTAGAAGTGAATAATAGAAAAATTCTTAGAAAATCTCCAATGATTAAAAAATAAAACTCGCCTTCCTAAATAATCCATGGATCTAATTTGAAGAGAAATTATAAAGTGTACAGAATAAAATGAAATAAAAATATAACACTGTACTACTGAGGAGAAAAATTATAACACTAATTACCTGTATTAATCTTTCACCTTAAAAATATATATGCAGAGCTGTATACTGAAAACTTTTTTAAAAAATGAAGAAGATTAAAGATCTTGAGAGAGACATGTCCTCTTCATATATCAGAATACTCAATATTGTTTAGATGTCAATTCCCCCCATATTGACCTACAGATTCAACACAATCCCAATCAAAATCCCAGCAGGCTTTTCTGTTCTGAAACTCATGAGCTGATTCTAAAATGCATGTGGAAAAGCAAAGGACCTGGAATAGACAATTTTGAAAAAGAACAAAATTGGAAGATTTATACTACTTGATTTTAAGGCTTATAAAGCTATAGTAATCAAGACAGTGTATTTGGAATAAACACAAACATATGCATCAATAGAACAGAACAGACTTCACATATGTAGTCAACTGATTTCCAAAAGAGGCACCAAGTTAGTTTAATGGAAGGACAGTGTTTTCAAATGGTGCTGAAACCACTGAATATATTTACTAGTATATGCAAAAACAAAACCAAACCACTTCAATCCTTACCTCACACCATATACAAAAATTAACTCAAAATGAACCTACTGTAACAGCTAAAACTATGAAACTTATAGAAAAAAATAGATGATCTTTGTGATCTTGAATAAGGCAAAAAATTTTAGACTGTTATGAAAATGAAAAGGCAAGCCATATCCTGGGAGAAAATATTTCAGAACATACGTTTAATTAAAGATTTGTATCCAGAATGTATAAAGAATTCTCATGATGTAATAAGACAAACCAATAAAACTGCGGGCAAAAATTAAGAATACATGCTTCATTAAAGATATACAGATATCAAATAAGCCCAATAAAAAAATATTCAACATCATTAATTATCAGGAACATGCAAATTAATACCACCATCAGATACTATCAGATAACCACTAGCAAGGGTAAAGTTAAAAAGACTGACAATATCAAGTGCTGACTAGAAATCTCATACATTACTAGTAGAAATGAAAAATGGTCCAGTCACATTTGAAAATAGTATGGCAACTTCTTATAACATTTAACTCCTGAATGTTTATCCAAGAGAAATGAAAATACATGTTCACACATATGTTCATAGCAGCCTAGGAACCAAAAATTAGAAATAACTAGGGTGTCCATCAATTGACAAACAGATAAAAATACTGTAATGCATCCATGTAGTGGAATATTAATCAACAGTAAAAATGAACAAACAATTGACACAGGTAACATGAATGAATCTCAAATGCATTAAGCTAAGTCAGTGGTCAGCAAACTGCGGCTCGCGAGCCACATGCGGCTCTTTGACCCCTTGAGTGCGACTCTTCCACCAAATACCGACTTCTGCGCATGGGCCACAAAGTTTTAATCGCACTGTACATGCGCGCCCGCACGTGGTATTTTGTGGAAGAGCCACACTCAAGGGGCCAAAGACCTGCATGTGGCTCTCCAGCTGCAGTTTGTCGACCACTGAGCTAAGTAAACAAAGCCAAACACAAAAAAACTACTTCCCCTATGACTCTATTTATGATATACTAAAGTAGAGACAAAAGTCAGATTAATGGTTGCCCAGGGCTGGGAATTGGAGGAGACTTACTGCAAAGGGATATGAAGGAACTTTTTGAGGTCATGTGAATATCCTGTATCCTGATTAACAACTCTGTATATTTTGTCAGAACACATCAACATTTTAAAAGAGTGAATTTTACTGTATATAAATTATACCTCAATAAACCTGATGTTAAAAAATAGAGTAGGCCCTGGCCGGTGTGGCTGTTAGTTGGAGCATCGTCCTGTGCATGGAAAAGGGTTTGATTTCTGGTCAGGGCACATACTCAGGTTTCTGGCTCGATCCCCAGCTGGAAGGTATATGGGAGGCAATTGATCGATGTTTCTCTCTCACACTGATGTCTCTCTCTCTCCCTTCCTCTCTCTTAAATCAATTAAATAAATGTCCTCAGGTGAGGATTAAAAAAAAACAAAAACACCAACATATATATATGGTGGCTAATTTTCCTTTATTTACAATTCTAGGAGACAAGAGACTATGACTTGCATAAGAAACAACTAGTTTAAATCAACTATTGCCACAGTAGTGTAAATGTTTAGTATACAACAAAAATATCTTGGACTAACAAAAATGTTTAACAAATAAGGGTTTTCTGTCTCAATATTAAATGACTACCATTTGAAATACTTTAAATATTAAAATTTAATATTTTTTCAGGAAATGACAATCATAGCTGGTAGGTTACACGCAAATTTTATATCTGTGTATCTTCGAGAGAGAATCCACCGTTTTTATGTCAGATTTTTCTCAAAGAGGTCTATGACCTATAAACAAGTTAACAATCATACTGTTAAAGGAACTTTCTATGTTGATACAGGTTGGCATATCATCAGTTTAGGAACATGAGACCAGCAAAGCAACTCACCATTTCGATGTTGCTCATGCTGATCCTTCTCCTGATGTGGGTTCTGCGGCTGCCCTATGCTGACAGGGGGATGATGCCCAAGGCCATAAGGTAGAGGAGACCCCCGTCCATGCGTCTGTAAGAGGTTCATATTGTAGGCCATTGCTGCCTGATGTGTAATGATTCGAGGATCAACTGCAAACCTACCCTGGTATCCTGTCCATGGTACCTAGGTTATTACAAAAAACAAAATAACTTCATTATATACATTTTGGAAGGCAAACTGCTATAGGAAAAAGCAAACTCACACAGAGAGGTGTTAGTTTTATCAAAATGAATAACTACAGTCAATGCTAATGCTAACAATTCACAGAATTACTGCTACATCTCAACTAGCCTGAAATGGCTCCTTGAATCTTTAGTGTGTAAGGGAAAATTTATCACTTAACAGGTTAGAAAGAAACTGAGAACTTAAAATTGTAATAATTTTTTGAAGCATTAAATCATCTTATAATCTTGAATCATTTCCCCTCAATCTGAATGTATACATGTCACAGATTATCCTGAAAATTATCTTTTAAAGTCCTAAGTGAATTGTTACAGTGTTTAATAGACTGAATAAGAGAACAGGGGGAAAAATTAAGAAAAAATTTAGTCTAAGGAGTCTCAACTCAAAAAATAGGTATTCCAACTTAATATAAATAACCCAATCATTTAATGTTCATATATGATATAGGCAAAATTTTAAAAGGTCATTAATTTAATCAATGCTTTTGATTAGTTCAACTCTTCCTTTAAATACAGAAACAGAAAATTTCTTTAGGTGTGTGTATATATATATATATATAATCCCTGTATATTAACATAAAAGGGATAAATACAAATGACATCTGAGCTACCTCCCTATTATTTTATTATAACTGCTAAATGCAGACTCTGAGAAATCTTATATAATAAAAGCCTCTTTGACCTAGTAAAATGAAATATAAATCCTAAGGGACTTACTATTTAAAGCAGATGATGTATAATGTTGCCAGGCTGTCTGGGAAGAAATAACTCAGCTAAAATTGAAATCTGTGGGGAGTGGGCATGAATTACGTATTTCTTACTGACAGTTCTTCTCATTGGCTGCTGTGATTGTGAACTATCATGATCAATATGGCTAGAAATGTTTGCAGCTTGGGCGTGTGGGCAGGGGTGCCAAAGATCCTTGGCAATGATAACCTCTGCCTGAAATTACAGCACTTTCCTTAAATGAAAGAAAGGTTTTCTAGGCTAAAATTCCTGAATTTGGAAATATTAGTATATCAGCAAATTAACAAAATTATTAAAATATTCAGTATGTTAAAGGAAATAAAAATGGGGTTTTACACAAGATGGAAGCTCTCTAAAGATTACAGTCTTAGGAAGGATTTAATAATGTTTTTAAGTACCAATAAGATTTCATAAGGTGTGGAATTTCTCTGATAAATTTAGATTCAAGGGAGTTAGACTAATCTAACCTTCTTTGCCTCCTCCAAAGAACTGTATTTCTTAGAAAGAGTTAGTGAATTATCTATATATATAAAAGCCTAAGCGACCATAATGATCGAACGACCAGAATGACCAGTCGCTATGACATGCACTGACCACCAGGGGGCAGATGCTCAACGCAGCAGCTGCCCCATGGTAGTCAGTGCGCTCCCACAGCCACCCTCCCCTGGCTGGCCAACCTCCCGTGGTCTCTCCCCCCTGCCCCGGGCTGGGACGAGGAACTGGGAGTGGGTGGTGATGGATGCGGCCCCTTTCCCAGGGGGGCCGAGGGCCAGCTCCCTCCTCGGGGCCAGTGGCCAACCTCCCATGCCCCGTCCTTCCCCCAAATCGGCCTGCTGCCCACCTGCTGCGGTGGCAGCGCAGCGGCGAGGGAAGGAGGAGGGGGGAAGTGGGGAACCACACATTGGCGGTGTCAGCGGCAGGCGTCTGTTCCTTCCGCGCCCAGACCAGCGACCATCACCTCCTCTCCTGACCCCGCCGGGGCCTTGGGGCCCTGATCACCCCAGCCCTGATCGCCGGCCAGGCTTAGGGACCCCACCCATGCACAAATTTCGTGCACCAGGCCTCTAGTACAAGAATAAAATGCAAAAGATCCAAGAAAAACATCACTTTACAAAACAAGAGACCAATTTACTAGCTCTGTTAACTTTTGGCTCAATTTCCCAGTAAAAATATTTTAAAATACAAAGGCTTCTCAATCAAAATATCCAATTTACATATTTCTTCATAGCCACTGATAATCTAGTAAGCAAAAATTCGCATTTCTTTGGTCATTTCAAAATTAGAAGGTTAAAGATAATAACTGCTTTAAAAGAAACTTACAGACATTGAAAAGTTTTTATAAAAAGAAGTTGGTAGGACACTATATGGGACAGTCACTACTTTAGTGAAGCCTATTTTATTTTATTCAATAGAAAGTATCTCAAACATCCACTTACAGGTAAAGGCACCGACATAACTACATTCCCTCCATAGACAGCAGGTACATAAAGAATACTTGTCCCAGTGTGAGGATCTATTCTCTGCACAGGGCTTGGAGATTTTCCCAAATTTGGATGAGGTCCAAGAGGGGGTGGAGGAGTATATGCTCTAATAGGATTGCCAATAAGAACGGAAGGATTGGGTTGAACTGAAAAAAAAAAATAGAGAAAGGGTATATTCACTAGCTGTACATATTCACCTAGACAAAAATAATTCAAATCATCCAACAGCAAAATATATTTCCCAAGTTTGCCATGAGATATCTTATAATCAAAGAATTATTAGTGTGGAAGAGTAATGCATATTAAAAAAACATAACATAACCATTTTAAAATGTTCCCTAAAATTAGCTTGAGATATGCAAAGTATTTCTTTTATAAACTAGCATATTTTTAAATGTCTTCTGAGGCTGGAGATGTGTCCTTCAAGAGAGAAAACCATGCGCACACCTACACTCTCAGTAAACATTCTTCCAAGACTAGGAAAACATATACAAGTCTTCAGAATAAAGTTTTGACTTGCAATTGTAATAAAGCCACATACAAAATGAAGGATAAACAATTATTATTTTAAAAGCATAATTCTGCAACATTTTAAATAACTGATATAAACTTTATCTTGAATTTTGTATGACCCAACATTTGTAGGATATAAATATGTTCCAAAAACATATTTATATCAAATAGGTTACATTAGAAGGCTTAAATGTTTTTCCTGTTTCTGGATATGTACTTTGGTACCTACAAAATCACCCCTTGTGAGAAATGACATATGAGCCCTGGCCATGTGGCTCAGTTGGTTGGAGCGTCATCCTGTACACTAAAAGGTCAGGGCACATATCTGGGTTGTAGGTTTGATCACTGGTGGGGAGGTGTACAGGAGACAACTGATCAATATTTCTCTCTCACACTGATGTTTCTCTCTCTTTCTAAAAATATTTCTCTCTCAATAAAAATATTTCCTTGGGTGAGGATTAAAAAAGAAGAAAGAAAGAAATGACATATGAATAGAAAAGTTAAATTGAGTTACTGAGTGTCCGTGTCCGTGTGTGTGTGTGTGTGTGTGTGTCCCTCTTCCCACCTTTCTCTTTCGAATGATGAAATCTGTAGTAAATACCATATCATAAAAGTGAGTTTTCATGGGGCAGTTTCCACTTACCAATTCCATCATTCTGGAAATGATCATTCTGGGTATGTTGGAGGCTTTTCCCCTTTACAGAAAAAAAAAACACAAAACACATTTAATATTAGAGAACAATACCAGTTCCTATGCAAATCACATGTATACAGCAATAATTAAAATGTAAAGACTACAAGCTCGTAATTAATAACTATTAAACTGTTCTGAACTTTTTTTTTAAATATTAAAGTCATGGCGTTACATGTTCTCAGCTCCAAGTTAAGGATATCTAAAATTCTTTTTTCATAGTAATCTATATATATAAAACCCTAATATGCAAATAGACCAAACGGCAGAACAACCGGTCACTATGACATGCGCTGACCACCAGGGGGCGCGCACGGGCTATGGCGGGCGTCGGCCGTGGTGGGATGGTGGAGCAGGTGAGCAGGGGCGCCAGACCAAGGCGGGGGGCCGGTCTCTGTCATCAGGGCAAGCCTCTGGTGGTTACTAAAAATTCTTTGCTCCCATGCACCGTGGTCCCGCCTGGCACTCGCACCTGCTACCGGCACCAGCCCCACTCACACCTGCAGCCGATGCCGGAGCCACTGCTCATACTCGCTGCCAGAGCCTAGTGCCGGTCCCGATTGCTCAGCACCACCAGCAGGTGCGAGTGGCGGCTGCCAGCCCTGATCACCCCTGAGGGCTTCTCCACCTCCCCCTGTTCCTGAGGGGTGATCGGGACAGCAGCTACCACTCGCACCCTCTGACAGCGCCAGCCCTGCTCACACCTGCTGCTGGCGCCAGCCCCAATCACTCCACACTGTCAGCGGGTGCAAGCGAGGCCAACACTGTCAGCATGTGGGAGCGGTGGCGGTGAGAGCAGGGCTGCCGGCAGAGAGGGGGCCGGGGGGCAGCGGCAGGAGGGGCCAGGCGGGGGCGCAGAGGATGGGCCAAGACCCGCCCCTATGCCCATCGCAGCCTCGTGGCCCACAGTTCCTTTCAAGGTACATGAATTTGTGCACTGGGCCCCTAGTTTTTTATAAAAAGAAACATGCAACCAATACAACTTAAACCTAAATTCTATTCCTTTGCAGTTTCTCTGTAAATTTTGTATGAAATCAATAACAAAATGTAAAAGTTGTATTTCAAGGAGAAAATATTAGTCTTCAATTTTTGAGGATGAGAACCTTTAAAACATCTCCCTAGCTGGTTTGGCTCAGTGGATAGAGCATCAGCCTGCGGACTGAAGGCTCCCAGGTTCAATTCCAGTCAAGGGCACATGCCTGGGTTGTGGGATCAATCCCCAGTAGGGGGCGTGCAGGAGGCAGCCTATCAATGACTCTCTCTCATCACTGATGTTTCTCTCTCTCTCTCTCTTTCTCTCTCTCTCTCCCTTCCTCTCTGAAATCAATAAAAATATATTTTTAAAAAAACACAGTAACATGAATGTATCTATAGTTTGGGATTGACAATAATTTGAGTATGATCCATGGCATCTTCAAGTGTAAAATTTACTGAAAAAAAACAGAAAGACACACTGATATAATGTACTTAAGAGAATATACAAATTTTCCAGAAAGCAATTTGGCAATACCTATTGAAAGCATCCAAAATGTACATACACTTTAACCCAGTAATTGCACTTCCAGAGATGTCTCCAAATGAAATAATAATGGATTTGGCACAGATGTTCATCACAGCATTGTTTATACATGGGATGATATGTTAACAACCTAAATGTCCATCAATGAAGGATTTACTAAGTAAGCAATGGCAGATTCATATAATGGTATACTAGTCTATTGTTAAAAATGATGACTTTGGGGCAGAAACAGTATTTGAAGAGACAATGGTTCTGAATTTGTGGACTTGGCTAAAAAAATTCTTTCTCTTTCCATTGGCTAAATGTAATACATAAAGCCTTTAAAAAACACAAGTAGCACATTATACAATTTACCCTTAGACACATACAAATTGCCATTTGTACATTATATCTGAAAACTAAAGGGGGAGATAATAATATCTATAGCAAGAAGAAAAATCCATTCTTGACTAGAGCAAAAGTACAGTGATGCTTCATTTATCTCTGTCAGCAATATTAAATATTCAGATCAGTACTAAACATCAAAGGTCAGTCGGTTAGTTATGAATGTGAAAGGACAGCTAAGTTCTAACTTTAAAAAGTAAAAAAAAAAAGTCAAAATAGAATCATATTTGATTCATTAGCCAGAAGAGAGTCTTCTCAGTGATTGCCACTAGCTATAAAAAACAAACTTCTGAGGAACAGAGAAGTGATGAGAAAGGAGGAGAGTGAAAGGAGAAGATGGCAGGCAGCAGAGCTGGCCGAGAAGGTGGGAAGATCAGAAGCAGAGCAATTAGAAGTGACAACAAGAGCAGTCAGGGGCACACACACTGACAGAGGAAACAAGAGCCGAGAGCCGAGGACACAGAAGATAATATAGTTCTAAGAGGGTAATAAGCCATTTAGATTTCTTAGTCTCTAAGGACCCATCAATCAGGGGCAACTGTGTAGTATGTGAAGAAAACATAGTGATTTAGGCAGGGTGGGAGGCAGAATGGCCCCCCAAAGATGTCCACACCCTAGTCCCTAGGACCCTTGAATATGTCATGTTATGTGGCAAAAGAGACTTTGCAGATATAATTAAAGTTATGGACTTAATATAAGATTATCCTGGAGTATCTGGATGGACATAATCTATTCACATGAACCCTAAAAGTAGAGCAATTTCTCCAGCTGAAGTCAGAAGATGCAGCAGAAGGAAAGGAAAGATGAGGTGGAAGGGGAAGTCAGAGAGGTTCTAAGGGAGAGAAGGCTCTGAGATACGGGGGCCACATGTGAGAACTGGAGAATAGATGATATTCAGAAATGGAGCCTTTGAAAAGACCAAAGCATTATTTTATAGGTTTTAGTTTGTGAGTTGTTTTTCACTATCTATCCTCTGAATAGTTTTTATAGTGTATGAATCTGTTCGATTTTATCAAAGCTTCAAACATTGCTCCCAGCAAGAGCCCTAGGAGGAAGCAGAATGAAGACAGGGATATTGGTTTTCTCCCTGCTAATTCTGCAGGTGCCCATGAAACAGACATTGTTATAAATGATTCCTGGAGGGAGTGAGGCAATGAGGATTGGCTAGATTACTCACTCCTGGATCCCCTAACATTTTGTACCTTTGCTAAACTTTATCACAGAACTGATATCTTAGTGAGGAGAATAAAGTTATTTGCTAAGCAGCAAAAGGTATGTTTTGTTGACAAACACAGCCCTGAGGTAGCAGTTCCTGGAACATTTTTAACCATGATCCAGCCTTCTGATTATTTTATCTATATGAAATCTTACTTGGATTTTAAAACTTAGTCTAACATTGACAATACTAATTTTTAAGATTTCCTTATGCCCAGAACTGTGTTGAAAGTTAAACATTAAGGAAATCTAGGGGGAAATCGTATGGCTTAGTATCATGTTTTCAGAAATAGCACCTTTTTCTAACAATGAGGTAAGTTTTCCTTTATCAAAAGACTCCAGCACATAAAATAAATTATCTAGGATTTGTTTCAAAATTTTCTAGTGGGTGTATGTGGTGGTGGTGGAGTGGAGGAAGTAGAACATAGATGAAACAAGATTAAGTTAATAATTAATGAAGTTGGATGATAAGACATTTGTTATACTATTCTCTCTATTTAAGTAAATGTTTGAAATTTTCTATAATAGAAAATTAAATAAAAAGGGACACCAGTGCAAATTCAAACCTCAAAACAATTTCATGGAAATAAAAAAGAATATGGGGAGAGGAAGGAGGTAAGGCGATAGAAATAACCTTTGGTTCACAATACCTCAGTTATTTATACTATTGATTATTGCATATGACATAAATAATAATTTACAATAACCAGGTAGATAGATGATTTGGTGAACCACTGTGCTATTGATATAAAAATAACAGATACTATCTACTGATTCAGTGAAGATTCTCTAAAAAGTTTTTAAAACTGGGGAGGTGGCTGCTTTGGACTTTAATTACACAATTTTCTCATTGAAAGAAAAAAGCCACACTACTGGCTGCATCATACCCATTATTCACTTATCAGATACTTACTGAGCACCCACTATGTGCAGAAAGTGGGGCTAGACTTCAGGGAGTTTATGGTTTTGGAAGAGCAAGTGGATTCAACATATATTTTCTTCACCTTTCAAATAAAACCAGCCCAGCGGTTTGGCTCAGTGATTAAGCATTGACCTATGAACCAAGAGGTTACTGGTTCGATTTCTGGTCAGGGCACATGCCCGGTTTGCTGGGTTTCAGGCTCAACCCCGAGTAGGGAGCGTTCAGGAGGCAGCCGATCAATAGATGTGTTTCTCATCAATGTTTCTATCTCTCTACCAGTCTCCCTTCATCTCTCTAAAATCAATAAAAACATATTTTTAAAAAGCAAATTGCAGGATCTTGCTTAGGATCAGCAGACATTTGCTATGATGGCTTGAATCTAGCTGAATCTAAAGCACATTAATTGATGCTCACTTTGCTCAATTAAAGGAAGAGTTTGTTGTACTTAAGAATGTGCAAAGGGTAAAATGACTTTGCAACATTTTAAATAAAAATAAAATGTAAACATTTCTACCTGGGGTCCTTACTCCTCACATACCCAAAGCTTAAAGCCTTTTGCATAAACTCTTTCCTGAGCTTCACTCACTCATCTAAAAAATACTTCAAAGCACCTAAGATGAGCCACATGTTGTACTAGGCACAGAGGCTAGAGAGCAGTAACTAATACAGGCAAAAATCTCTGCCCTAATGGAGCACATATTCTAGTTTTTGACATGTCTCCCCACTACCTCCACCCACTCAGTAGACCCCTAAACAAGATCTGGCCATTACCCTCCAACATCTGCCACTGGAGGCTAATTTGCTTATCTCTACTTCTCTAGCACCTACCATAACGGCTGGCATGTAGAAGAAACTTAACTGTTTGATTAAAAAAATACATTATTTATTAATAGTTTAAGCTTTAGAAATCTAGAAGGTTCATTTAAGTAAAATTCTTAATCCCCTAATAACCCCAAGTCACTAACGCATTATTGTACACTAGAGGCCTGGTGCACAAATTCATGCACCAGTGGGTCCCTCGGCCTGGCCTGCGGGATTGGGCAGAAACTGGCTCTCTGACATTCCCAAGGGGTCCCCAGATTGTGAGAGGGCGCAGGCCAGGCCGAGGGACCCCACCAGTGCACGATCGGGGCCAGGGAGGGACGTGGGAAGTTGGCCAGCCAGGGAGTCCACAGGAGGGCTCCAGGGCATGTCTGGCCCATCTCATTCAGTCCTGATTGGCTGGACCCCAGCAGCAAGCTAACCTACCGGTCGGAGCGTCTACCCCCTGGTTGGCAGTGCACGTCATAGTGACTGGTCGACTGGTTGACTGTCTGCCCCATGGTGGTCAGTGCACATCATAGTAAGCGGTTGAGCGGCCTTAGCATATCATTAGCATATTACGCTTTGATTGGTTGAACAGCCGACCGGTGGACTAGATACTTAGCATGTTAGGTTTTTATTATATAGGATTAGATTCATTTTTATTAAACTAAGAATATACAACAGTATATTAACATAGAAAGTAGTTCTATTTTCGGCTTAATACCTATTTAGCTAAAAAACTTTCCAGATAATAAACCATTAATTATTGCTTACACATTAGGTTTTACATTTTTTAAATGAAGCCCAAAACTGACATACTCTATTAAATTTAAAACCATGCTGATAGCTATAAATACACCAAAACACTGGAACAAATACTAAACATGTCATTCTCACAACTTTCTGTTCTAGATGGTAAGTGAATTTTTTTTTCAGGCAGTATAGTAAATAAACCAGCTGTCTCTGCCCAAAATAACTATGGTTCAAAAGTAGAAATGGCTTTGACTTTCCCACCTCCACTTCCTCTGACTGGATTACTTCTTATACAACAAATATAGGTCAAAATCAACTAAAGTAACCTTCAAGAAGTTGGCCAAATTTTCTCACTGTGGCAAATACCACTTGAAATGCACTAGTATTGAAATGAACATGTCTAGTATTGTAGAACATACAAAGTGTGCTCTCAATTAATTTTGGCTGATCAATTGCAAGTAACATGGCCAATGCTCAACTATCCACATGGACCTAGAATGATGGTTTTTGTTATCCACATAATAAATAAGGATTTCAAAACAGATAACTCATTTTATAGAAGATTTGTACTTCTAGGCATACTTAATCAAGAAAGGATTAGACCTATTTTCTTCACACAGATATTGTTATAATGTTATTCCTTATAAAAATGTTTTTAATAAGTGTGCTAGTCTAGTCTTTTAAATTTGCTTTGTATTATTCACATCTTGCTAAAATAAGTCTATCAGTAGAGAGGACTAGGATATTATATTATTCAAAGGACACAAGAAGAAATCAGGTAATTGAAAACTTTTTGAGGATGACCATGACATTAACCATGGCTAAACACCACACTGTATTTCCACACTAGACAACTTCCTTTCAGAAACTACTTGCTGAATACCTAAAGTAACTAGCAGCTCAATAAACCTTTGACACCTCTGCACTTTTTTCTCACAGTAGCCTCTTCAATTTCATTAACAGGCTTTACCTTGGGGGGTGATTGCTGCAGCTTGTTGGCACTTCCTGAATGCTGCAGTCTTAGGGCCCGGGGGATAAATTCGGGTGCCAGTGGATTCAACACATATGTCTTCTTTAGTTCTAAAGCCTCAAGTTGAGCTTTGATCTGTTCAAAAGTGATTCCGTGTAGGCTATTATTTTCATGACACAGGGCAATAAACCGCTCCCAAAATTTCCTACAGAAAAGATTGAGAAGATCAGTTTACTATTTCAGTGGGTGACAGCACAGAAATAAACATAAGCTACTGAAGATCATTTCAAATTTCCTTCCCCCACCCTAACTCCTCAGGTTCGATATTCATCTATGATTCAGGTATAATCTTCCCACTAAATCATAAAACTTCAGAGGTTGATTCTGAAATGAGAGCCATGTCTAGTATGCTCTCAATTAATTTTGGCTGATCAATCGCAAGTAACATGGCCAATGCTCAACTATCCCCATGGACCTAGAATGATGGTTTTTGTTATCCACATAATAAATAAGGATTTCAAAACAGATAACTCATTTTATAGAAGATTTGTACTTCTAGGCATACTTATATATACATATTTGTACACAGATACATTATATACACATACACATATCATATATATCACACACATACACATGCACACGCAAATTAAACTATTTTAAATTATAGAGCCAACGTAGCCTGGTGCTGGATAACAAAGAAAAGCCAACTCAGGACATAAATCTGATACACAAAGTAGATAAACCCCTCATGAGGATTCTTAAGAAATAACTAGCTACTCCTGTATTTTTCTCTTACTTAACAAATGCTTGTCACAAGCACAAGTTATCACATTGAATAAGTTGAGTTAAATTAATTATGAAAAATACAGGAAGTTGGAACACTAATTTTAATGCTGATTATTCATTTCCTAATCACATTAATAAATATTAAAAGAGAAAAATACATTCAAAACTTGTTGCAGTTGTATATTGTTGCTCCTAGAGGTGTGAAAATTGATCTCTAATGTAAATAAAATATTAAAAACAGATTATAAAAGACAACATATAAAATGTTTAAAAATTTTAAATGACTATTGTAAATACACATGCCTATCTTTAATATGAGGTTCAAATAATGTTTTATTATGCTATAAAAGATATGTGAAATGGATTCCCAGGTTGGTATCCTTGTGTCCATGTGGATAGCAGGTAATCAAGATGGCTTCAAGAAGCATAAGTGAAAAGGTTTATATTATAAAAGTTAGCATATGAATGAAAATTAGGTTATTAACATTCATAAAACTTTGCAGTTTGATTTCAAAGTATGTTTCTCTCACCTATGTCTTCTACCATCTTTTCTAATTTCTTAAAGATGAGTTTAAAAGATGGGTCCTGAAAAAATTTCAGGCCCAAATGCCAACAATAGGAAAAGTAAAAAATGCTACAAAATATTATTATGTATTCTTGACAATAAGTCATAAAGGCTAACAATTTAGTCATTCAGTTACAGGATGTGTGTGTTTTTAACACACACACACTAAAATCTGCTCTTTATTTTTTATTCTTAAGCACTCTTCTGAAGGAATCAAGAATTTTTTTCCTCATAGTCTAATAGCTAAGGAAGGAATACCTTTAATTAGCACTCAGGATCTAAAAACCCATAAACTTTCCCACCCTTTTGATTTAAAAAGCCACAATATTCAACTGTATGAATATTTATCAACACAATTCTACTACATGCTGTATTCAGAAGGAAGTTTTTTGGTCTAATTGATAAAATATCAGTTTTATAAGAGTGTCATTTCATATTTGTATGAAACCTCAAGACACTAAAACAACAAGGAGAGAATGGATTGGCTTTTATTCTAGCTCAGTTGTTAATATCAATTTCTTACAATATATTTTCAGCTTAGTTGGCCAAAATACTAGAATTTTGCTCTATTTTCAAGCTACCTTTTTAAACTCCATACTTTCTTCCTATACTGCCCTCACTGACCTCAAATGCAAGGAACAGGAGTTGAAGTCCCCTTCAAACAACCTCAGACGCAACAAGAAGCTAGTAGCTCCCTGACAGTCTTTGTCTGCAAAAACTCAGGAATCTCAAAGCAGCAGCCTTTACACTGAAAGTCTCCAATTCAGAAGTAATACTAAACACTGTAAGTTAATCAAGTTAAACTAGTTCTGAAAGTAACCTGAAATTTCCATTTGAAATCTCACTTCTATTTTAATTGCCCCATTGATATAGCAAAATTGGTCAAGAGCCTGGATTCCAGAACTAGACTGCTTGGATTCAGGGTGGCTGTCATTCATTCAGTAGCTGTGTGACTTCAGGCAAATTACTTAACTTCTCTTTGTACCTCAGTTTCTTCATGTGTAAAATAGGGCACCAACAGTATTATTATTAAACTTTTTATTATTGAAATATTTTATTATCAACAGTATTATATTTTATTATTGAGAAGACTTCTCACTTTTAAACTTCTCAGAAAAAGATTTTTATTCCTTTATAAATTGTTTTAAAGCTAAAATTTTTCATTTTTTCTCTTTGTAAAGGCTCAAGACTATTTGCACTGACCTTGAATTCCTTAATACTTTATTGAAGCACTATGCATGGCATCATAAGACATTTCTGAACACTTAACTGAAAGATCAATTGAGAATTTCATCTACACTCAAAATGAGAATAAGAATTCACCACTAAGGCTTCACCAAGTCTTAGACCCTCCCTAAAATATGAACCTATTTTTTATGTTAACAATTTTTTCACGTGTGTCTCTACACTTTAAGTATTTCAAAAGACATAACAATAGTTTTAATCACTACATGGACGCAAAATTTGGTTTTATTTTTTATGCTTCTAGGATCACTGATAAAACATTGAAAAATCACTTGATGTCCTTAGGTGACAGAGAGTGTGTGTTTGTGTGTGTGTGTGTATGCGGACACACATACACACACCTCTACACATATGTGAAATACATTTATATCTCACAGAGTAAATGGAACTTGCAAATAAAGAAACTCAGCTAAATGGAAGACCTTCCCCAAACACATTGGTTTGGAGACATGTATGACTCCCCTCCTTGCCTCTCTCCATTTACAGATTTATCCTGGGAAAGGCAGGGTAAACCAGTGAGAAGAGCTTGGGTTTTCAAGTCAATCTTACATCTGTGTGAGTGAACCACTTAACAGCTATGTGACCCTGGCAGTAATTTCAACTCTCTGAATCAGGCAGCCCATCTAAAATGAAAATAAAACACCCACATTGCAGGGCTGTTGAAATGACTGAACATGGCAAAGTGTGCAAAACACTTAACCTAGCACCTGGCACAGAGAAAGCTATCAATAAACAGCAGCTATCCTATATAATAAAAGAGTAATATGCAAACTGACCCTAACGAAACTACCAGGAACGACGGGTCGCTATGATGCATACTGACCACCAGGGGGCAGATGATCAATGCAGGAGCTGCCCCCTGGTGGTCAGTGCATTTCCGCAGGGGGAGCTTCACTCAGCCACAAGCAGGGCTGATGGCTGCGAGCACAACAGTGGTGGCAGGAGCCTCTCCCACCTCTTTGGCAGCGCTAAGGATGTCGGGCCTAAGCCATCAGTCGGACATCTCCTGAGGGCCTAAGTTGGCAGGTGGACATCCCCCGAGGGGTCCCAGTCTGCGAGAGGGCACAGGCTGGGCTGAGGAACCCCCCCACCCCCAAGCGCACGAATTTTCATGCACTGGGCCTCTAGTAAATAAATAAAAGTACAACAAAAAAGATTATATAGTCAGTTGCCTTCTAAAGTGATAGTATATATACAGTAATTATTCCTTGAAAACTTGATCACTATTTGGAAATAACATTAGTGTTTTTTTAAATATCAAATGGGTGAGAGGGTGAATGATTAACTCAAATTACAAAAAATGTATGCCTCCATTTTTATAGTACCTAAGAATCATATTATGATCTCCAGGTTTACTTGTATTGTGAAATTAAATTTCTAACAAATTTAGAAAGATTAAAGCATAAATATCCATAGTCCTCAACCATCAGCTCTTGGATGCAGTGGTTCTCAACCTTCTGGCCCTTTAAATACAGTTCCTCATGTTGTGACCCAACCATAAAATTATTTTCGTTGCTACTTCATAACTGTAATGTTGCTACTGTTATGAATCGTAATGTAAATATCTGATATGCAGGATGGTCTTAGGCGACCCCTGTGAAAGGGTCGTTCGACCGCCAAAGGGGTTGCGACCCACAGGTTCAGAACCGCTGGATTAGAGCCATAATTAAACAGTCCAAATAGCATAGATAATCAACATTCCCATTTAGCTATTGGTCACATGACCTTTTTCTCCCTACACAATATATTTACTTCTCTGAAAATATTTTGCTTAGCTTACAAATTAATTTGTAGTCGTCTCTCGCATACCCCAGCTTAGCAGTAAGAAATAAGCAACCAGTAGAACTGGCTTCAAGTTAATAATTAGCCCTGGATAAATCTGACAGCATGGCCTCAGAAAGAATCATTCACCCATTTGCTCTGAGAAAGTAACGGTTTATATCAGAGATGGGGTGAAAATGCTGATCTCATACAATTCACAGTCCTCTACTCTATAGGAAGGGGTAAAGATTTTTAAAAAGTGTTCATGTTGGTAAATATTTGGGGTTATTTATAAGGAGAATCCAAAACACATGCGGCTCAACACTATTATTTTACCTATTCATTCACCCAACAGTTTTTAGTTAGTTTTAATACATGCCATCCCATTTTACACATGTGTTTTAATCTATTAAATTCGAATCAAACTATATGTATTCTCACATTTATCAAATAGTAAACAGAAGAAAAATGATAAAATATCACAGCAATATTCTACCTACATACACTTTCAATAAACAATAAAGTAACTAAAGTAAAATTCTCGGGAGGAAGGCCAAATTAATATGCTTAATTTTATTAATTTGTAACTTGAAATTAATATATTTCCTTCCCCAATTCTTTGCCATTGCCAGCTAAAAATAAATGGAAATCTATATTTTAAATATGAAATTAAACGTATTTTATAGCAGAATTGTTTAGCTATACATTCATAAACCATTCAAGTTGTGTGTTTTTTGTTGTTGTTAATCCTCACGAGTATATTTTTCCACTGATTTTTAGGGAAAGTGGAAGAGAGAGGGAAAGACAGAGAGAAACATCGATGTGAGAGAAACACATAGATTGGTTGCCTCCTGCACGAGCCCTGACTAGAGGAAGAGCCTGCAACCAAGGTACGTGCCCTTGACTGGAATCAAACCCAGGATCCTTTGGTCTGCAGGCTGATGCTCTATCCACTGAGTCAAACTGGCTAGGGCCATTCAAGTTTTAAAAGGTTATTTTTCATAATGTAACCATAAATTAAAGCTCCTCTTGATCCCTTTGTTAATGGTTTTCCCTATAAAGAATATTAACTTCTTTTGGAGTCCTAAACTCTAATACTTGCAGCTTATTCTTAATGGTCTCAAATGGTTACCCTTTCCATAGAATGCTTTTTTGCTGCTGAAATAGAAAAAAATACAATAAAATATTGCCATATCTATATTGCAACAGAAAGCCTAATTTAAAGAGGGCTACTTCCTACTTTAATTCTAACATATCAAAAAGGCATATTTAGAACTGTCTATATCACTTTCTACTATTCTGAACTCATTTTGACAGGTACTACAATACTTAAAAAATTTTAAGTAGACCTGGTCAGTTTGGCTCAGTGGATAGAGTCGGCCTGCAGACTGAAGGGTCCCAGGTTCGATTCCAGTCAGGGGCATGTACCTTGGTTGCAGGCACATCCCCACTAGGGGGTGTGCAGGAGGCAGCTGATCGATGTTTCTCTCTCATCGATGTTTCTCTCTATCCCTCTCCCTTCCTCTCTGTAAAAAAATCAATAAAATATATATATTTTTTAAAAATTTTAAGTAATCCTTAGCATTTTTTTTCATAAAATAATATTATAAATTTCTATTCTAATGATTTTTTGTTAATGTTAACATAGTTTTTAAATACTGCAAAGGCCAAGTCTTATATTGCTGGCTTCATGCAGTTAAAATCCCTGTTAACTGGTATAAATCAAAAGTATATAGAGAAATTTTTTATGTTAACATTTTAACAGCACTTTAGTAGAAATAGTTACTATGACTACAATCTAAGGAATACCAACAATGATATCCAAAGACAAGTAACAAACAACTTTTAACCACCCTGATTTTCAGAACCATTGGATTAACCAGACAGGAAAAATTATTTACATTAGGAAGCCTCGAGAGAAAAATGAGTGGAGAAGGAAATTCATCAAAAACGAGCTGAAACAATAATGAAGGGAAAAAACACAGTATCGATATAAAATGTCATTTCCATCAAAGAGACACGCGCACAAAACACCCACTCAGGATCCTGTATTAGCTGTTCCCTCTTCCTGGAGCACTTTTACCCCAGGTCTGCACAGCGCACTCCCTCACCACCAGTGTTAGCTTCTCAGCGAGGCCTCCTCTGACCACACGATGACAATCACAAGCCAGCCCACCCCACCAGACCCGTCATTCCTAATTCCCCTTAATGTGCTATTTCTCTTCCATTGAACTTCCCACGTAAAATACAACACTATCTTATTTTGTTTATTGTCAGTCTTCTTTTCCTCCCCAATAATATGTAAGCCCCTCAAACGCAGAGATTTTTGTCTATTTCATTCACTGACCTGTCTTCAGTGGCTAGAAGAGTGTTTAGAACATAGTAAGCACTTGAGAAACATCTGTTGACTGATGACTGAATGAATGAATACACAATTAAGTATAAAATAGACTCAAAGCAATATATTTTTGTGTTCCTTCTGTTTATCAGGTAAAGTTAAACTTGATTTTCATTAGCCAAGAGGTCATATAAATAAATGTACACATAGGTATACAAATTACTCTACATTTTCCCCTTTAATTTCTCAAATCAGGAACACATAATTACCTGCATCTTCCAATGGAGCACAGAGCAATGGGATCACCTACCACAGCAACCAGGGACTGTGCTCTTGTGATGGCAGTGTTGAGAAGTTTGTAGTTAGATAAAAAACCATAATCTAAGTCCTCTGTGGAATCTTCCAGCAGTTGTTCTTTCTTTTTAATTGGTGTCTGTTTATGTTTACAAGTATGCCTTGTCCGTACTGTGCTAAGAAACAAAACTCTGAATTGCTTTCCTATTAAAAACAAATAAAAAAGACTTAAGATTGTTATTTTGAAGCACTGATAAAATAAAAGCATTTCTTTCTGCCTTTTTTAATATTATTGCTAAATGACAGGTATTGGCAAGGATGTGGAGTAACTGAACTCATGCACGGCAGGCGAGAATGTAAAATGGTATATAAAACACTATGGAAAATAGTATGGTGGTTCCTCAAAAAATTAAACATAGAATTAACATGATCCTGCAATTCCACTTCTGGGAATCAATCCAAAAGAATTAAAAGCAGGGACTCACACAGATATTTGTACACCCATGTTCACAGCAGCACTATTCAAAATAGCCAAAAGGTGAAAGCAACCCAAGTATCCATCAACAGATGAACACATAAATGTGTATATACATATATACATATATAAAATATTATTCAGCCTTAAAAAGGAAAGAAATTCTGACACAGGCTACAACCTGATGAACCTTGAAGACATTATGCTAAATGAAATAAGCCAGTCACAAAAGGACAAATAGTGTATTACTGCACTCAAATGAAGTACCTAGAGTAGTCAAATTTATAGACAGAAAGTACAATGGTGGTTGCCAGGGGCTGGGAGGAAAAGGGAAGTGGAATGAACACATAAAAATGGTTAAATGGTAAATTTTTTTAAATTTTAGTATTGCTGGAACCAGCCTTAGTGATTCCGAAGTCCCACTCAATACAAGGAACCTTCATTAAAGCAGGGTCATCTAACCTCTTGCTGATTCCATAAGGAACCCTTATTGAATATAGTTCGTACAATAAATTTCTAATGCTCTTTCTTATAGTAACACGTATATTCCCTCTTTCTGTGACAGACCTCCAAATATTTGAACACAGTTTTCACATTAGTCTTTTCTTCTGTAGGCCAAACAATCCTACTTCTTTCGACCATTCCTGACTCCCATGTGGCAGTTTCTATAGCCAGATCTCCGTTGGGTGCTTCCTAGTTTACTAGTTCTATTCCTTCTAAAATGCACCCAAATTCTGTGTGATCTGGACAACACGTGGTACAAGGGAGTTATTTTTCCCCATGATTTAGAAATTATATTATTCTTACTATTGTATATTACCATGAAACCTGAGATTGTACTAGGCTATTTCAGCATTCACATCATAGTGTTGTTTCATTATTTAAAAGCACAAATTTTATAGCAACTAGTTGCTGGTAACCATTCACTGAGGAAAGTCTGTAGATGGAAAACAAGCTGTGCCTTTAAAAATGCATTTAAGCAGGACTTGCTTGCCAGGTACAAGTTTGTAAAAATCTTTATGAACAAATTAGTCCTCAGAATGTAACAACAGTAGGCGTATGCTATAGATAACGTGTGTAATTTATACAATTACAGTCATAGAAAAAGTTAATTTGTTCATACTTCTTTTATTTGGATATAAAAATCTAACAAACATATAAATGAGCTCAACCTTTAATTGCCAAATTTGGCATTAAAGAACTTGATATGAAATGAAGACATAATTACTTCTCCAGGAAAGAGATCTTGAGAATTAAAAATCCAATGTGCACACACTTTAAGATTTAATCATCTGAATAACTTAGTTTGTTTCAATTAACACTCACCTTGAACATTTAGCACCCTTTCTACATTAACATCAGATAATCTCTTTTTTCGAAGTTCAGCACGTATCCTAAACACTTGATCAGCATATGGAGTCACCACACCGATACTGCCATCATCTAACTTCCCCCATGCTACTGGCCATTTCCTTCTTAACTCTTCCACACGTTCCACCACTTCAAATACCTTTAAACAAACATACATACACATATTAAAGTTACGCAAGTGTTTAGAGAAAAGAATATGGTAACTGAAATAGATGTATAAAGGATTCCATTTTATCATTTTAAAATTACCTCTAAATAAGAATAATGCTTTGCTTGTATAAACACATTGAGAATTAAAACATTTTATTCACATTTCAAACAGTAAATTCTATAATGCACCCAGTGAAAACATGAAAATGAGACAATGTAATGGCAACTGGCCCCTCCCTTTACCCAGTTTCCTCCATTCTTAAATAAGGACAGGTTCAAGTTCCTGTGTAGGAAGAAGGACAAGGATATGGCCATAAAACTGACAACCCCATTTAGGGAAACAGAGAAGCAAGTCCTGACAGTCTCAGTAGTTCTCAGTCCACTCTCTCCAGACCAGGCAAAAGAACCTAACCACCAACTAGAGATGCCTAGAGTGAGTGCCACCATTCAGTCTCAGCAGTGCAAGGTCTAGCACTGCCCTTCCTCCACTGATATAACTAAGCAGAGCAGCCAGCAGCTGGTACCTAACCACTGCTGGGACTAGGACAGGGGTGGGCAAACTTTTTGACTCGAGGGCCACAATGGGTTCTTAAACTGGACCGGAGGGCCGGAACAAAAGCATGGATGGAGTGTTTGTGTGAACTAATATAAATTCAAAGTAAACATCATTACATAAAAGGGTACGGTCTTTTTTTTTTTTAGTTTTATTCATTTCAAACGGGCCGGATCCGGCCCGTGGGCCGTAGTTTGCCCACGGCTGGACTAGGACAAATTTGGATCAGAGACAGACCTTCAGAATTCACTGTTATCTAGCAGTACAACTTTGCCCAAGCCATTTCATGAACCTTGCAATAAAGTAATGGCATATTTTACCCAAATGAATATTTTAGATGCCATTTATTGGGCTCTTAAAGTAGGTCAATCTATTTTAATTCAATGAATTGATCAAACCGTTTCAATGCTTAGCACAGTGGGAAATACAATAATTAAGAAAACATGTTCCTTGCCTAAGAGATATTACTGTGTATTTAGAAAACAAATTCCCAATTAAAAAATATATATATAACACAAGCTCAATAGAGGATCAGACAAGAGTCTAGAGAGGAAGGAGAAATATTTTTAATGTCTTTTAAATATATTATTTATTTATTTACTACTAGAGGCCCAATGCATGAAAATTCATGCACTGGAAGGCGAGGGGGGTCCCTCAGCCCCGCCTGCCCCCTCTCACAGTCTAGGAGCCCTCAGGGATGGGAGGCGACCCGGCGATCAGGGGAAGGTGACTCCCCCATCACACCTCTGCTGCTGCCACTGCCTGCAGCGCAAGCCTTGGCCAGCCCTGTTTACCTGCGCCTCGGGCCGGCCAGGCAGCCACCATCGGCGGCTTGCCTGTGCCTTGGGCCGTGCCTGCTTGCCTGAGCCTCAGGTCAGTGGGGGGTGCAGGAGGACCCAAGGTCCCCAGCGGGGCTGAGGGAACTAGGCGCCGCCATCTTGTGGCTGTGGGCGCCGCCATCTTGTGAGGGTGTGATGGTCAATTAGCATATTCCCTCTTTATTATATAGGATTTACTAATAGTATATAAACTGACAGCATTAAATATAGTGAGTAAAATTTGACACTTTTTATTCCTTTCAAGAACTTGAAGATTATTGAATAGAATGTAGTTCCCACTTCCAGATAAAAATTCAATGTATAATAGTCACCCTACTGTTATGATGATATAACAGCAAGGGCATCAAATACACAGACTGTCCAAGGATTCTGAAGAGCAAACTGGGCTGAAGACATGGTGATCTCATTGTAAGGAATAAGACAGGTGGGTCTGAGTACAAAGGAGGTGAGTGAAAATTGACAGATGGTAACTCAAATCTACAGAAAGAAGTTAAAAGAACCAGAAATAGTAAATAAGAAGGTTAATACAGCAAACTCTCAGAGTCCTTAAAGGCATAAAATTATATAATTGTAACAATGTATTGTTGAGTTGTAATATACATAAGTATAATATAAAAAACAATAATAGCACAAAAAAGGGAATAGAGAAATGTAGGAGTAAAGTTTCCATATCTCATTAGAATTAAGTTAATTTAAATCTGAAGTTGATTCTGATAAGATGTATACTGTAAGACATAGAGAAACCACTAAGAAAACAAATCAAAAATCATTAATGAATAATTAAAGGAATTAAAATATGACAAAAGAAAAATGCACTTAATGCAAACAGTGGTAGTAAAAGAGAAAAGAAGGGTCAAAAAACACATGATATAGAAAACAAAAAGCAAAAGGCAGAGGTTAAGTCCATATCAATAATAACATTATTAGTAAATTAGTGGCCCAGTGCACAAAACTCATGCACATTAAAAGGGAATTAATTAGCCGAACCGGTTTGGCTCAGTGGAAAAGGGAATTAATTAGAGGAAACATTTTAATATTGCTATTTGCCCTTTCTCTATAACATAAGTGTCAGAGATGAGAGAAAATTAGTAAAATGTATTTGAAAATCTCCCTCCTGTCAGAGTCTGGGGTGTGCCGCGGGACCCAGAGTCAAGTCCCCACCCACCCGCGCACGCCTCAAAATCATGCGAGACCCAGACCCGGCCAGCCCCACTCTGGTCAAGCCCCGCAGGGTGGGGGGGCACAGTCTCAGGTCCCCCGTCAAGCCCCGCTGGGCAGGGGGTGCGGCCTCTGGTCCCCTGGCTCTGGCGCGAGGGCACGACGACCATTTGCATATTAGCTCGTTATTATATAGGATGTAAGCGATTTAGACAATTTGATCAAAAGGAAATTCTTTTTAGACTAGAATTAAAATAAAAAACATAAAAACACGATGCAATGATTTGGTCTATAGGAGACATACTTTAGATTCAAAGGTAAAGATAAAAGGATAAGAGTGAAAGGGTGGGAAAACATGCCATGCAAACAGCAACCATGAGTTAGCTGGAGTAACTATGCTAATATTAGACAAATTGACTTTAAAACCAAAAATAAAATGTTACCAGAGATAGAGATGGACATTTTAAAATAAAAAGGTCAATCCACAAGGAAGATATAACAATTATAAATATATGTAACAACTAACTACAGAGTCCCAGTATATATAAGGCAAAAATCATGTCCCCTCTCTGCCATAAGTTCCATCATACCTGGTGGATTTGTTTTTTAATAACTGTACAAGTCTTTCTACCTCTCACTTATCCCATCTTAATTGTTTCCATAGCTCCTCTCTTCACACTGAATTTCTCAAGGTTAAGAATCATGTATTGCTGCTTAGTGTTTAAATTCTGCTTCCCTCCATCCACCAACTTGGCATTATATTGAGACCATTTCATTATTGTAGGATATGAGTTCAGTCAGAATCAAGAAAAAAAAAAGGGATGACCTTTCTCACTCTTTTATTCTGCCATGTTAAGCGTGTGAAAGACACAAATTCATATAATAGGCAAACACATGATATAAAACAAAAAAACATGTTCCCCAAACAAAGGACAATTATACACAACAAAAATGCTGTAAATATTCAGCTCGATTCTTTAATTTTACTTTTCATTTCATCCTCTGTTCTAAGATCCTTATGACTGTAAGTCTGTGTGAGTCAAAAGTATTTTTATAATGATGAAATCTAAACCATTCTCAAATCTCATAATGTCCTCCTAAACTTTAGTCAGAACCTCTATACAAGAAAAAAATCTCATGTTTCCCCTATTGATGTAACTGGTACCACTTGCTTTAGAACACTTGCCTCTCTCTGTCAGCACTCACCCTACCATGGTTGGTTTCCTAGATCTGAGTTTCACCTATACATACTCTACCCTCAAAAAAAGTCCAAGCATGCCTACACTGGTATTCAAAACTTGAAAATCTTGCCTATAAACCAATGAGCTTCTATTCCCAGCCCAAGCAATATCTATCCCACTCTATCAGCCCCAGTGAACAAGGATTAGTTTTTGCCCCTTGAAGAAAGAGCCTCCAGGCTCTTTTCACTGGAGTAACTCACTGGGCTGAAGAAAGTGACTAAACAACGATGATCTAGTGGTGAAGTTCAAGGTGGCTTCACATTTCTCTAAAGTTACATAGTTAATATTTAAAGTTCACACAAATCTTTGTGTTTAAAATATGAAAAATATTTCTTTATCCACCCCCCAAAATTTTTTAGTATATTGACAGTCTAGGGCAGTGGTCAGCAAACTGCGGATTGAGAAAGGTATGTTGAGATGGTTTGGACATATAGAGAGGATGAACGAAAGGAGATAGATGAAACAAGTATACAAGACGAGTGTGGATGGGAGAGTTGGAAGGGGTCGACCTCAGCGAACGTACCTCAATCAGATTGAGGACGTTTTTAGCAAAGGCCAGCTTAGGAGTACCCTAACTAACTTAATAACAATGTACCTACCTATATAGTTTAAGTTTAAAAAATTTGGCTCTCAAAAGAAATTTCAATCGTTGTACTGTTGATATTTGGCTCTATTGACTAATGAGTTTGCTGACCACTGATCTAGGGTGATGCACCTTATTTACTCTATAGCTTGCAGGTTTCCTGGGAAACACACATGTATGTCCCCATGAAGGAACAAGTGGCCCTGGCTGAGAAGCTGAGCCTCTGGCAAACACCAACCCTGCCTCAAGATTACAGTTAGGGCTCAGCTCTGACCCCTGGTGGCAAGGCAGGACCACCAAGCCTGCTAGAGTTCAAGCTTGCCTCTCCCTGTCAGCACTCACCCCACCATGGCTAGTTTCCTAGTTTCTAGGCCAGTGGTTTGCAACCTGAGAGTAAAAGTAATAAAGAAAAACCTAGAGTTATTTGTCAATATTTCAAACATTTAAAGAAAAGTTTACCTTTTCTTAAAATTAAATGGCACAGACTAACTGAAATGTCAAGTTTCTTTGCTTTCAGCTAGGATTTTATCAAGTGGGTGCTATTGATTTTCTTGTACTAACTTCTAACTACAGGCCTCTGATCAATTTTTTAAAGAAAAATGAATTACTATTACATCATAAAAGCCATGTCTTTGAAAATAAAATGAGTAAAGAATGGGACTTAAGGAACAAAGCAAGATGGATATCGTAGATCAAGAGCAATTCCCCCAATGATTAACCAGGAACCTCCCCCCAGCCCTCCTCTGGGTTTCCTGAAGTCCAAAACTCCATGCACTGTGATGACCAGAACTTATCTAAAGGGTCTCTGGCTTGCTGGCCCCTAAAGACTTCACCAACTTTTTGTCTACTACCTGATCTGACCCCTCATACTACTCACACTCTTCTGAAATTAAAGTCACATTGTAAGAGGACCATAAAAGTTGTAGCACATAATGGGTTAGCAACATCATCACCTCAGTCTGTGTGATCTCTCTGGAGCACAGAATTCTGCAATTCAAGTCTTACTCACTTAAAATGATATGTCATTTGAGTATGCACTATAAAATATAACCATAGTCTATTTTAGATGGCTAACAATAATCCTATATAATAAAAGGGTAATATGCAAATCGACTGAATGGCCAAACAGCAGAACAACCATCCGGACGACCATCCAGGACCACACTATGACACCCACTGGTGCCAGGCCAGCCAAGACAGGTGCGATGCAATTGGTCGGGGGCCCGGTCATCACCCCATGATCACCCCGCAGAGGGAGGCCCAGGCCACCAGCCAGCGGGGCAATCAATAGGGGGGCTCCACGATCGCCCCAAAGAGGGAGGCCCAGGCCACCGACCAGCGGGCGGGTGAGCAGGGCCTCCCTCTGTGTAGGAAGCTCGGGTCCCGAGTGCCGGAGGCCAGAGGGAAGCAGGTGTCGGCAGCCGGGGGAAGGAAGGCCTACTCTTGCACAAATTTCGTGCATCGGGCCTCTAGTAATATATATAAAATAACACCAACTTTTCTTTTCAATGAAGTCATGTATTTTGTATTTTATCATAAGACAACATGTAATTCAAAGGTTTTGTTTCCTACAGGAGATTCATCTGAACCAATCAGTTACACAAGAGAGAATGAACTTTACATACTATTTTCATGTAAATGAAGTCAACACCCAATAAGATGTCAACCCAAATTTTTAAATAAATGCTCTCAACAAGACCAGGCTATGTGACTGTGAAATATTAACAATTTGCAAAAGAACTAAGGTACCTCTGCATTATTATAATAAGCTGTGCTATTTTTTTCTTGTACATCTTCCCCTCGAGCTGTAAAGAAAGTGAGTGGGTAGAAATCCTTGTGTGCTGGTTGCTTTCCACTGGCCATCAGTTTGCCCTCATAGAAGAGCTCAGAGGTGTAACTGCAGAAAAAGACCAAAATAAATAAGTAAAGAGCAATCTATTATCAAAATTCAATTCAATAAGAAAATAAATATATCAGTCAATCCTAAAAATGTTGCTTTATGTCCATGATTAATTTTAATCCAAGCATCTAATACCAATGAGGCCAAGATTTTCTCCAAAATCACAGCAATGACATCAGAATAGGCTCCGAATTGCTAAATGAATTGATTTGGGCAAGGTACAAAGCCAGAATACAGAAAGAAAAGGAATAAATGACGACAGTTCAATACCAGATGAGAATCTTGCTCTGTGAGGAAATGTGCTAGCTAGTATATTTTCCTGGTTAATAGATTTAGATCATATATATGCAAACAAAGATATTCAGATATTGAAACAATACACACAACTGAAGGACATTCAAGTCTTTAACAATAAAATGAATACATTTTGCAGAAGAAGATACCAGCTAGTACTTGATTCATCAAGGACTGCAGCAAATGACTGGCAACAATCAAAAAGGAAGCACATACTGAGATATTAACAAAGCCACAGTTAAATCTAAATTTTTATATTTATTCTATTGCTTTCAGAGAAACCTAAAAATGGTTTTCACATGACTGACATAATCAACATTATTAAATCATACTAAACTTTAAAACATTTTAAGTTTTTGGTTGAAGGAGGGGCTTTCCAGAGTGCTGGGAATGTTCTGTTTAATGATCTGGGTGCCAGTTACATGGGTGTACTCAGTTTATGACTATTCCCTGAGCTGTCACTTATGATATTTTTATATTTATGGATGTGTACTATATTTAATAGAATCCTTTAAAAAGTTCATTACTAAGTTTCATGGTTTTCCTTCCTCCCTTCCTTCCTTTCAAACAGATTCCTTGTATAAGACGGACACAATAAGCAAACCACTAAGTAGTTTATCAACATATTTATTTATTACATCATGTAGTTTTACATGTATACTATATATTCAGTCACAGAAAAATATATCATAGCTAGTAAAGCCTAAAGTGTTAGTTTCCAGAATTGCCCTATTCTGTGAAAAATTACAGCTCTGACTTCTGAAGTTTCTTTTACAAACATAAAAGTAAACATAATCTGCAACTCAGGAGACCATGTAACACTGCTGGGAATAATTGGTCCCTAGAAACAGTGCTGTTTTGAGTCCCCTCCAGCCAGATCACAGGAAGTGTGATACAGAAAGGGCAGTTCACACCTACTTGATGATAGCTTCATGGGACCGGTAGTTCTCACAGAGGAGGATCCTGCATGGGAACTCAGCGGGGTAATGCTCATAGAGTCGATCAAGTAATGAAACATGAAGGTTTCTCTCCCTGGCAAACTCGCTGTAAACAAAAGGACTGAGCTGTAACAGACAAACATACAGAGAAAACTTAATTAAATATATGAGTAGTATTTTTTAACCTACTCATTAAAAAATCCACTATGCTGGCCCAGCCATTGTGGCTCAGTGGTTGAGCATCAACCTATGAACCAGAAGGTCACGGTTCAATTCACAGTCAGGACACATGCCCTGGTTGCAGGCTTGATCCCCAGTGTGGGGCATGCAGGAGGCAGCCAATCAATGATTCTCTATTATCATTGATGTTTCTATCTCTCTCTCCCTCTACCCTCCTCTCTAAAAATCAGTAAAAATATATATATTTTTTTTAAATCCACCATGCTGAAACTTCTGATGTACTAAACTTCAACATGCTGAATGTTAGAACAAGCAAAAGAAAATATATTTTCTATGAACAATTTTACTACTATGAAGAATGAGGCTAAAATTTCTAACTTTTCATTTCACTGACCTAGAGTTCCTACACATAGGTTAATAAAGGGCTCCTCCAACATACTAAATAGCTACTACTCAATAATTTCAAGAATGCAACCCATTGCATCATTGGGGGAGTCAGTCAGTCAGTTATTTCACTAAAATTGATGAACTATTCATAATGGTGAGCTGGTAGAACATTTTGCATATGAATATAATTTTTTTAATTATTTGTAAAATAATCTTTTTCTCATGACAAAGTATAAAAGGAGCCATTCTTGATTATACCTCTGGCAGCTAAAAAACAAAATTAAATTACTTTTGGCAAAGAAACAAAAACAGAATTTGTTCCTCTACACATTCAACTCTTTGCTGGATGTCTTGACAGCTACAGTACTATATAGGTTCAATCTTATCTGTGGCAGAAGATATTGTAAAACAGATTTTAATAGAAAAATCATATTTCTCCTTCATGTATAGTATGCAAATACATAAAATCAGACCTCGTTTTGAGACTTTGACCATTATTTTTAATTAAGCACTTTGTTATGATAGCAAAAAATTAACCCTACAGGAAAATAAATGTAGGAACAGGACTTGGGGAATTGTAAAAAAAATAATTTGGATTTAAATTTGCTTTATAAAAAAAATAAGACTCAAATATTCATACTACAGAGAACTGAACTTCAAATTAACAAACATGGAAATGTTGTTAGACATTGTAGTGGGATTATAATTTTCCTTCAAAAATACCAGTCTGTTTCACTATTAGTGCAGAAATATTTAAAGTACTTAAAGTATAATACATGGCACAATTTCATTGGGTATTTTAGAAAATAATATTAAACATCAACATATAATTCAAAGTTCCTTTGAATATGATGATGCAGAGGGCAATTACCTGCATGTGGTCACCAGCCAAGACAATCCGAGTGCTTTTAGTTGCTAATGCTAGAGGCATAATGGTTTCACACTCCATGGCCTGGGCAGCTTCATCTAACAGAATGTGCGTAAAAAACCCTACAAAGTACACAGTAAACACAGTAAAGCATATTAAAGCAGCAATAGAGGCCAGAGTAGTTTTGTGTGGTTTGGTTTTTTTTTTCATTTCTGCTAAAGAAAGAGTTTAGTGTGCCAATTTAAGAGTTGTGAATCCTCAATTTAGAAAATCATCCATTTAAATTATTATTTAAAAACCAGAGACTAAAAGGAGTAATTATCTTACTCAATAATAGATACATAAATGGCATCTGGTGCTAAAGCCCCCAATACTAACAGCTGCATCGCTATACTTAAAGATATTTTAAAAGTACCAGGTAGCAGCTCTTCACCAAAAAGAAGGGCTGGCAACTAAACACTAAGGGCCAAAGTCCTTTCACTATGTATTCGATGAAACATCAAAAATAAAACAATGGTAGTTCATAAGTAACTTTAACCTAGATATGCGTATTAGACATTAAAATAAAGAAAATCACACTCAAAATCTAATATAAAGAAGAGTTACAATTTAATTTTAAAATCTAAGATTATCTATTAGCTTATTCACTAATTTGATTAGATTTAGTGTGTGGAGGCAAAAGTAGGTTTACAGTTGTGAATATGCAAAGTTTATTCTTGTATTATTAATTATTGTATTATTTTCCATACAAACAACTGTAAGCCTACTTTTGCCCACTCTGTATATACATATAAGATAGATATATAGATATAGATATGTTTTTTAATCTAAGACCCTACAATGAAAATATCATGCCTGGGGGAAAAAAGACTAATAACAAATGTCAAAAGTACATTATCACAAGTCCCCCAGATGCAAACACCTACAGTAGGAGGCATCCTACATCTTGGTTGCTACTGCCACTCATACTGGGGTACAGAAATCTGTGTACAGAAAGGAGGAAAAGCCCCTTTTCCTCTAAAAGGGGGAGAAAGAGGCAAAAATCTCCTTGCTGTCTCAATGTAGAGAAGGAAAAAGTTGTCCCCTACTGCCAACTCAATGAGGTCGGAGGGGACCCTCTTTTTACTAACATAGCAAAGAACAGGAAGTAGTTTCTCAACAGAATGATGACATAAAACTCTGAGTTAATCAGCCCACTGTGAGTTGGCCCAAGAACCTAGCCTCTATTTCCATCCCTATTTCTATAAATATCAACAAATTCCAAACAATCTGTTCATACAACTTTCTAATGCAGTAATAACTCTCAAAATCATCCATTTAAACGAATAGCTATGGTTGACAATATAAATATTAATAACTGTTGTCTATTTACCCACAGTGGCCCAAGCAAGATATGGACACATGCATTTTTCTCCCTGTTGAAAGAATTGTGCTTCTTGTTCCACAAGACTAATTAAGGATGGTGATTACATAAACACAGAATTAAATTGGAGGGAAGCACTGAGACCAGTGAAAAATACCTACTGTTTTCATTATTATAATTAAATAGAGCTAGGTTTGAATCAGGAACTAGATAAATCATTAAATTATTATACCTATTGCTTAAGCTAATAAAGGAACTTGAATTACTCAAACTGAGCCTTGGTTTTCTTATCTGTAAAATAACCCTCCACAGGGTTAATATGAGAATTAAACACCCAGAACAAAGCATAGTTGACTTCTACTAAGTATTCTTCTATATGCTCACTCTTCAAAGCCATTCTTTACTCCTTCACACAAACCTATACTGTTTAGGAGGTTTGGGTATTTAATCTGTATGGCAAATATGCAGAGTATAACCATAAAGTAATGAGACTGATTGTTAAATAAACATACCAAAATTTACATTTCAAATAAGTGTTGTTCCATTCAAAGAAGTCAGTTGGGAAGAAATATAACTCATTCCAATGATGCAGTCACTGTTCAAAACATTTTTGAAACTCTGCTTTTGTAACTGCCCTCACCAGCCAGCTATGAGCTGCATGCACAAGAAAATAAGTCTCATTACTGAGAGGCACGTCTTTTTTTTTCTTTCTTTTTTACCGCTAATGGAATTGCTGTTTGATCACCTACCTACCTTATTTACCAGTCTCAGAAAGACTTACATGTCTCAGAAATATTTTGAAGCTTTTCTAAAATTAAATCTACCTTCAAAAAAGAAAGTTGGCCACCATTCATTATTTAAGATAAAAAGAGGTTTATCAAGGGCCTCCAGGTTTCTATATCCTGGGCCAGGTGCCAGGAATAACAGATGAACAGAATAGTCTCTACCTTCCAGGATGTTCAAAAGAATTTGTCACTGGCTCTGAAAGCAATTCCAAAAGGAGAGAACAAAAAAGTGTTGAGCCACGCCAACAATTATAATATGGCAGCAATAAATGAATATTCTTCCAAAGCAACTAATTTAAAGTGATACCATTTTTTGATGGTTAAGTTCTGCCATATTTATCAGAATTTCTTGTCATTTTATATCTGTACTTTGTATAACATTAGTTTAATTTTATTTAGCTCCTGTCTTATAACAATCGCAATAGTATGTAAAAAAACAACAATCGTGATTGTTGTTGTGTCTACACTATACAAAAGTATTTTAAAGCAAAAACTTGAGAAACTGTAAAAAACACCAACATTGTCCAAATTTGAATTTTTCATATAATCAATAGTAAATAAATACCATCTGATCAATTAGAGAATAAATAGAATAGCCGTCATTAAAATGTCTAAAATGTCTAAACTGGGGGTTGACAATTTTCGTTTTTTGTAAAGGACCAAACAATATATATCTTAGGTTTTCTTGGCCGGATGATTTCTTTTACAACTATTCAACTACGCTGTTGTAGCACAAAAGCATCTATAGGTAATAAATAGGTAAATAATTAGGCATGGCTATGTTCCATCCAATAAAATTTTATTTACAATAGACAACAGGCCACAGTTTGCCAACCCCTGGTCTAGACTGAATGCAGAAGCCCTAGGCATTCAGAAACCCCCTATCTGTGTCTTGAGTCAGCATACCAGGTTCAAGGTCCAACTGACAGAGGTACTGGGAAGTATTCAATGTAACAACAACCACTCGGTGCTTAAGAATATCTTCTTTCTGTGGCATCTGAAAGGTGGAATGTGCGCTTGAGATCAAACAGTACTGATGCACAACTGGGTGAACAGTCTTTACCCAGCGATTTCTGAAATATACCCTATAAAAGAAGATAATATTTCCTATTTGTATTTATTAAGTTCTTACCAGTATTTGATTATCAAAATAATGACATTATTATTTAAGACTACAATATCTGGAAATTAGCAAATAAATTTGATAACCATTAACACTCTACTGGATTAGAATTGCACGTACAACTGTGACTTCCCCCTACCAAAAAAGACTCAAACAGAAAGAATATGCACTACTATAAAATAAACATCTAATAATTTTTGTGTTCAGATTTTCTTACAAACAGAATGACACGAAAACAATTTCATAAGCATCAAATTTAAGTTCAAAGCACTGCCATTTAGGAATTACTTTTTCCTAGAAAATTCTTATTAAAAAAATACTTATTGTATTTTAATTATCTATGCTAACTTACAACAGAATTACATACATACAACAGAAATTAAAAAGTTAACTGCATTTCACTTCAGAATATATTCTTATAGCTATATTTAAATCAACCTCTAATGTTCTAGAAATTTAAAAATCAAAATAAATTTTGGACAACCAGAAAATCTTAAAAAATAGGATCTCTTCCATTAATTGCAAAAGAAAAATATTAGTAGGCCACATGCAATAGGTTACTAAGATGGCAGGAAAACAACCTTTCCATCTATCCACCCACTCACCCTCATTGAAACACTGTCCTCCCTCAGCTTCTATGACTCAACCTTCCGCTGCTTTCTTTCTCCCTCTCCAGGGTCGGTCGGCATCCTCAAGTCTTAGTCTTGGCTCTCTCCTCTTCTCAAGCTCTGTTCTCTACCCCGACAATCTCATCCAGGCCCTTGGCTTCAATACCCTAATGACTCACACATCCTTCTCTCTCCAACCAAGACCTCTCCTCTGACCTCCAGGATGCATATCTAACTCTTTATTCAATACTAGAGGCCCGGTGCATGAATTCGTGCACCAGTAGGGTCCCTTGGCCTGGCCTGCGGGATCAGGTCAAAACCGGCTTTCCGACATCCCCTGAGGGGTCCCAGATTGCGAGAGGGCACAGGCCAGGCCAAGGGACCCCACCAGTGCACGATCAGGGACGGGGAGGGATGCGGGAGGTTGGCCAGCCGGGGAGGTACCACAGGAGGGCTCCAGAGTGTGTCCAGCTCATCTCACTCAGTCCCAATGGGCCAGACCCCAGCAGCAAGCTAACCTACCAGTCAAAGCGTCTGACCCCTGGTGGTCAGTGCACTTTATAGCAAACAGTTGAGTGGCCTTAGCATATCATTAGCATATTATGCTTTGATTGGTTGAACAGATGACCGGACATTCAGCATATTGGGCTTTTATTATATAGGATCTGTCTCCTCTAAGATATTTCACAGGCAGCTCAAATATAAAATGCACAAAAACTAATCTCATGATCTTCTAAAATGGATTGTAACCCTCCATGAAACACTTAAAACTGGCTGTCTTATTTTAAGCAAAGTAAAAAAAAAAGTATTTAACAAATGTCCCTAAATAACCAATATCATTTCTTAAAGATGCAAAAATTTTAAACATGTTTTAAGTGTTAGTTTAAAAAATGTTAATCAGATCAGCAAAGCAGAATTTACTTTAAAATGTATAAAAAATCTCATTTTACCAGCTACCTAAAAAATCACTAATTATGATTACATTAATTTAATTAAAGTATATGTATGTAAATACATAAATTACTAGAAATTAAACTCTAAAATGTTAGTAGTATTTATCTACGGCTGATGAAATTATAGTTTTTATTTTCCTCTTTGTTCTTTTCTATATTTTCCATATTTTCTTAAACATTTCATGTAAAATCGAAAAGTGATTTTTCAAATTATTCATTAAATCTAACTCCAAGCACTGCTTCTTTTTCAAAGAAAAGACAGAAACTGAAATTCTAAGTCTCACTACTAACTTTTTGGTCATCACCATAGAAAGCTACCTCATGTTGAAGCTAGTAAGAATACAAAGTTTGATCATTAGGTCTATCTTGCCTTAAAAGCACAATATTCTAGTGCTGGCTTCAAAAAGATTTAAATATTTTCTTGGTACTTTCATTTTGTGCAACATTTAAGGGAGACACTGTCTATAAGATTATTTAAAACACATCAAGAACATTTTCCAAAATTAGAGAATTGATAGTTGCAAGTGACACTTTCAGGCTCATAGTATAAAATGAACCAAGTAATTTACTTATCTCTAGAAACAAACCATTCACATATCCCACAAAAAGTATAATGATACTTAATATAGGAAACTGCCTGGTAATATAAAATTTTAATTCACTGAAATTTTATTCATATATTGAATTCATATTAATAACTTCCCCCAAAAAGTTATCACTTTAAGACACTACAGAATCAGAAAGACCTGATCCGAGAAGAAAATCTGCTTCTTTAAAAATCTATATAAAACAAATAGCTTCTATTTGCCCCAAAGCAGTAAATGCACACTTTATCCATAATCTCTATCCACTAAGTGATAACTATTCCAGTGCCAGATACCGATCTTCAGAACTATACATAGAACAGAACTGTGCTTTCCTCTCTACCCCACTTTAAAATCTAATTCTAAGGAAGTAAGAAGTAAAACTGAAACTAAATGTAATCTAAAATGGTTTCTACAAATATTTTAACAATGACTCCTGGCAACTAATAGAATTCTATGCATTTTAACTGTAAGGATGCATATTTAAACATTTTTACTGCATTAACTATTTAATGTTTATGAGTATTTTCACACTTAATCACATTTACCAAGCCTGCCCTAAACTATACTGTGAAAAAAGCAAACTCCTCGTCAGTCCTACTCCTTAGAGACACCACATCTTCAAGGTCATATGCAGACGCTTTGTGCATTCTTGTGTTCTTTCCCCTGCATTTTGGGACAATTCAGATAAAGCTCATCTCCCCAGAGTGCTCAGCCATTCTAATTTTCTCTATCCCATCTCCCAGACCTTTCAAGTTTATTGTCCATTAGGAAAATTATAAATAAAACTGAGTTACTGTAGTGATAGTGCTAATAAATCCTAACATTGCAATGCATTAATCCTCATAGGAAATACATTCATGAGTTAATACCTTTCCCCAAGAGAAAAAACTATTGTAAAAATGTAGGGCCATATAAAAAAAAAAAAAATACCTGGAGAATTCAAGCCTTTTCTTTTTTTTTATTCCATTATTAAAATGAAATAACATAAAATTTGTATTTAAGTATACTTAAATATTTTTCCTTCTTGACTGAACCACTCCTGAGATTTGTGGGGAGGTGATAATTTTCTGCTTAGATGGCAAATTTCTGAATTTGGGCCATTACAACTACACATGTACCCTATTGAAACATAACTTGTGCATATTTAGATGCACTATATTTTGAATCATAACTACCAACACATAATAATTTTACAAGGGAAAGCTAAGCATAATGACAGTCAAACGAAGGATTTTAATGTTTATCAACAACAGTTCTACTGCCTCACATGTCAAATGACCTATGCTAGGCTGACCAACATTTGAGAAGCTTTTACTCCATTATTTCCAAGCCAAGTAGACCATGATAATTGAGATTGCCATGGTTCCCACATAACACAAAAATAAACACACATGCACACACTCTACCAACAATAAAGCAAACAAACATCTCCATTAAATAAGAACACTCATAGCAAAAATGCTGCTAGCTACCCAATTGTCACTTATGAGCTAAAAAAGATCAGAATCTGAAGCAAACTAGCTATTGACAAATTTTAACCACTGGCAAATACCACATTTTTATTTATAGTGATTGTATACATGTGATGTTTTCTTATTAAACACAACTGAATTATACTGAAAATAATTCTTTCTGCTCTAATTTCCAAGGGTGAAAACAAAGTATGACATAAAAACCTGTGTTCACAGGCCATGACACTTTTTTGTCATTTGTTCTTTTTAATGCAACTGCAAAATCATTCAAATGGCTTGGGTTATGAATAGTAAAGAATTAAATAGCAAAATCTCATTTTCCATGCCTAGGCTCAACAAATAAAAAGTTAGTAAATTATGATTCAAAAGAGTGGTTAGAAATTAATTTTTAAACAATAATTATACTCAAACAACATAGGGCATGATATATTAGTTTATAAAATGGCAAACTAAACATTAATTCATATAACAATGAAAGCAAATGGTATAATAAACAACCATTTAATGATTCTTTATTGTTTTCTGAAGAAAAGGATTTTATTCCCCCACAATCCTATATTTAAGTACTTCCATCTCCATATACACTGGAAGGACCTTTCTATATGAATCTAAAATTTTCTTGGACACTTTGTCTCGTAAATGATAAAAGTTGTAAATACCGGTCAATTACATTTTGTTGCAGAAATCACTTCAGTATTTCATGCTTCTCTAATGTGCAGCTTTTATGAAATTACCTGCATGATCACAGTCAAAATCTTATTTCCATAAAGAACTATCATGCATGACTACTCTGCCACACAAAATATGGTAAGATTTTAATTACATTTTATGTAAATCATATTTATGATACTTCATCATAGTAGCTTTTAGAGGTACACATCAAAATCAGCTCAGACTATAACAACATTTTTACATACAAAACTTAAAAAAGGATGTCTTTTTCTTTACTTAATGTTTAAGATGTGAACAGTCAAATATTTTTCAATTTTTCTTTAATTTTAAATCATTTCTTCAAAAGGCATTACCTCCAAATGCCAATGCAGAGTTAAAGATTTTGGTATTCTCAAAGTACTAAAATCTTTACAGACACCTTTTCTTAAGAATAATAAAGTGTGATACAGATACATAATAAGCCTTAAAAAATACCTGAGAGGTCTTGCCTGGGGATTGCCTGCTTCTACATAGGGATGTAAATAATCCTTTATGTAGAGATCAGCAGCACTATTAGAATGGGTGCAAATGAGAATCCTGCTGAAATAAATGGTGCAAATAAAAAGAATGATAAAACACAAAACTATACAAGCAGTATAATACCAAAAAAATAAAAATAAAAAAGCAGTGGCCATCTTAACATTATACATTTCCCTCAACCTACTCAGTAACCTCTATCATATTATTGAATAATGCTCTTAAGCAAATTGTATTACTCTTTATGCTATAACAGAAATAAGTCCCCTAAAATTACAAAATCTAACATATAAAATTACTTTTTAAAAATCCAATTCTTTGGCTCTAACATATAATCAAATTCTTTAGCAGACTTGGGGTTTTGCTGGCTATTTAAAAGCTATCATTCTCTATGTTGTCAATTTTTAAAACAGTATGTTTTAGGAGAATTCAAATTTTAGTGCTTTGGGGTTTGAATGTAGGTCTTTTTCTCTTTTGTATTTTTTAAAACGTTTACAAACTGGATGAAAATTTTCTTGTTAGCCCTCACTTTGGATTCCGAACAAGGACAAAGGCTGTGCCCTAGTAATGAGATCGGAGCACACCCCTCACCATCTCACCTTGTCTCCTGTTGCTGGAGTATGTGCTTTACAGCCTGAGCTAGCGTGAAGGTTTTGCCTGTCCCATAGGGTCCGATGATGAGAACAGGAGGCAGCTGTATTGAAAGTGGGGTTGTAATGGCTAGAACAGCTTCTTTCTGTTTTGCATTTAGTCGAGGATCCAACTGTTCATCCCACTGTCTGTAGAAAATAAAATTTTAAGTTACTTTAAACAAGCACATCTTATTAATAAACAAAACACAACATACAAGTATCCTGAATTTCACTGAACCATTAAAAATACTGAAATAAAAAAATACTGAAATAACATAGCGTCTATAAAAATCAATGCTTATTCTAAAATTACTTCTTAGAAAATTACCCAATTTTACTATGTTGATCAAAACTCACTTTAGTTATGTTGTCCTATTCCAAGTGCAAAAAGATAAGTAACTTAAAGACATCACACACTATTAGTCTAGTTTCTGCCAAGTCTCTATAGTAATGACAATGTTAAAATGTAGATACCCTCTGTGACATAAAAGCATCAAATAACCTTTTTTTCTGGTAATAATGAAGTAGTAGTTTCTTTGCATAGCAAATAAAATGCAAAAGGGAAACTAACTGATTTCCAAATTCCAATCCATTCAAAGATCTCTTAGTAACGTTTAAAATAAGGGGGAAAGAAAAAACCTGTATGTCTCTACTTAAGAGATACCAAACTTTTCCGAAGTTCTTAATTCAGAAAACAGCAGTTTTTTTAAAGGCTGAATAACATGAAATGTTCTCTAGTATTTTCACACGCACAAATATTACACATATGTCCTATTTTTCAGAGTAGAGAACACCTGTCATGGCAGCACAAATGGCTGCTGTAATGAGATCCAGCTTCCTAGTGTCCCTTCTATGACTTGGCTAAGTTTCGAAGATTTAAATGGACAGCAGATGCTGAAAGGGATCAAACCAAGTGGAGAACCAACAGCATTCTTTCCCATAACTAAAATTAAAATACTAAATATCGCAACAAGTATGGTAAAAATGATAGGGATGTGAACCAAAATAGGAAGGGTGTGTAAAGAGACTTAGAAGATGTGCAAAGTGCCTACAAAATAAGCCTGAAATGGGAGGACATTGTGTAGTGAAAATTCCCCCGCTGTGAGGCTGTACTCTACTTAAATCTGAAGCTAGTTATTTATGGGAAATCTTCCTAACACTTTCAGTTTTTAAAAATTATTATGATAGATCATTTCAAACAAAATTCTCCTAAAAATGTAAAACTTTAGAAAATAAACATTGGCCATCTAAGCATTCCATTACTTATTTTTCTGAAATTTAAACCTTCCTAAGTAAAAAACAAAAGGACTCTGACCAGGGGCACTCAATTTCCTATAAGCCAGTCACTAAAACTCAAGCATTTTACTCCACAGAATTAAGCATTAACCAACTTATTTCCTCGTAATTCTGCCGGTCCCCGGCAATGTTTCATCTTCTACAAAGGAGAAGTTGCTTTAGATGATTGCTAAGTACAGATCTAGTACACGTGGCAGACACTGTGGAATGGTTATCCCCACGCCATCCACAGCAGCCTTTCTGCCTTTCCTCTATTGAACCTAGATAGCTAAATACTCCATTTCCCAGCCTCCTCTGCAAGAGACCCAATTCCGGTCAATGAGATGTAGGAGGAAATTCTTCAGAAGAGCTTCTATACCCAATAAAACAAAAACAAAGCCTCACTAGAAGAAAGCTCTTTCTGCTACTTTGCCTTCCTCCTTCACCTGGCTGAAATGAGCTCGTGGCAAATAAAACTGCAGCAGCCATCTCCTATTCATGAGGCAATGGGCATCAAGAAGAAAACCAGTATGTTGTGTATGGCAGAGAGGAAAGGAGAACCGTGGTCCTTGGTGGCACTCCAGCTCCTGCACTAGCTTTGGACCACCTACCTCTGGCCTCTATCTCTACATGTTGATGCCACAGTTAGGTCAATACCTGAGTTACTATGATTCTATGATACCTGACCCCATGGTTCCTTTGTCTTTACATGGAGATAGCATACTTGCATCAGATGGTTATTGTAAAGATCAAATGAAATAACGCATACAACCTGATTAGAAAAATAATTGAGCAACAAGCGCTCAATTAATGTTTGTTTCCATTATTATAATATTTTCTAAGGATTTCAAAAAAATGATGTATAAGTTGACCAGTACACTTTCAAAAAACAAGAAAAAGTTCTAAAATCAACCTCTAATCTTTCAAATTCAGGGATTTTAATGATTTTATTAATGAAGAGATATTAGAGGAGAAACCAAGATAAACACCGGAAATTGCTGCCTCCAACAACAACTTCAAAAATACAATGAAAAGACAAAACAGACATCATCCAGAACTACAGGAAGGCTGGCTGAGTGGAAATTCTACAACTAGAAGGAAAGAGAAAAGCACAGTGAGACTCAGAGGAGCTGCGGAAGTAAAGAGCAGAGGTATGGAGGCTCGAGCGCACTCGGAAAGGGGCTGGCACCTGAGGACGCGGCTGTCTTTTTTAATCGGGAGGGAATCACAAGCTCCCGACTGTTCCGAACTCCGGTTCCGGGAAGTCTCTGGGGACCCAGGACTCATACGGGGAGAAACTGGACTGTCTGGCAGCAGGCAGAACTCGGAACTTGAGGGCGGCTTTCCCTCAGAGGTGCTTGCAGCAATTACTGGGACACTGAGACACGGCCCCTTATAGCTGCTTGCTCCACCCTGTTGATTCCGAGACCCGCCCCACCCAGGCTGCAGCAGAAGCTTTTGCATATGAATGCCCTGGCCCTTTGCAACCTGAAAATTACCTAACAAAATGCAGCTGGGCCAGACAGACCCAGAACTTCCAAGAGAAGGCCCAAAGCCCCACAGCAGCTTGCATTGCTTCACAGCTGGGCCTCATCTGGGCACCTCCAAACCCCCAATAAAGGATAGGTAAACATCGGAGACTGCTGCCGCAAACAACCACTTCAAAAATACAACTAAAAGACGGAACGGACATCACCCAGAACCACAGGAAGGCTGGCTGAGGAGAGACTCTTCAACTAGAAGGAAAAATAACAGCACACCGAGGCTCAGAGGAGGCGCAGTGTGGAAAATACTCAGGTGCGGAGGTGCGCGCGCAAAGCGGGCTGGTGGCTGAGAGCGCGGTTGTCGTTTTCGGTCAGGGGGGAGTCTCAGACTCTGAGCTCCAGATACGGGCGAATCGCTGGGGACTCGGACCCAAACGGGAGAAGCGGGAGTGTCTGGCATCAGTTGGAAGGCAGCTTTCTCTCCGAGGTTTGCAGCGGTTCCTGGGGTTCTGAGAAGCAGAGCCTCTGGGAACAGGACTGAGGGCACCATAACGGCTCCCTCCGCCCGCCCTGTTGAGCCCGCCCCGCCCAAGCCCTGCGCAGAGCCATTTGCCGGATCGCCTCAGGCAAAGGCTAGATTAGCACCTCCCCAGAGGACAGAAGTTTTCCGCGGCAGACACAGCTGATTCACACAGCCAGTCGGCCTGGTGGTCAAATCCCTCTAGTATTAACTACAACAATCAAGGCTCAACTAGAACAAGACTGCGCACAAAGACCACTAGGGGGTGCACCAAGAAAGCATAAAAAATGCGGAGACAAAAAAACATGACAGAAATGGAGGATATAGAGCTAAAAATCGCAATTTTGAGGGCTTGCAAAAATGTGCTAGAAGCTGTCAATAAACTTGAGGAGAGAGTCACGAAAACTAATGAGACCCTCGATGCTATGATAAAGAACCAACTAGAAATTAAGCATACACGGACTGAAATAAAGAATATTATGCAGACACCCAATAGCAGACCAGAGGAGCGCAAGAATCAAGTCAAAGATTCGAAATGCGAAGAAGCGAGAAACACCCAACCGGAAAAGCAAAATGAAAAAAGAATCCAAAAATACGAAGATAGTGTAAGGAGCCTCTGGGACAGCTTCAAACGTACCAACATCAGAATTATAGGGGTACCAGAAGAAGAGAGAGGGCAAGATATTGAAAACCTATTTGAAGAAATAATGACAGAAAACTTCCCCTACCTGGTGAAAGAAATAGACTTACAAGTCCAGGAAGTGCAGAGAACCCCAAACAAAAGGAATCCAAAGAGGACCACACCAAGACATATCATAATTAAAATGCCAAGAGCAAAAGACAAAGAGAGAATCTTAAAAGCAGCAAGAGAAAGAAACTCAGTTACCTACAAGGGAATACCCATACGACTGTCAGCTGATTTCTCAACAGAAACTATGCAGGCCAGAAGGGAGTGGCAAGAAATATTCAAAGTGATGAATAGCAAGAACCTACAACCAAGATTACTTTATCCAGCAAAGCTATCATTCAGAATTGAAGGTCAGATAAAGAGCTTCACAGATAAGAAAAAGCTACAGGAGTTCATCACCACCAAACCAGCATTATATGAAATGCTGAAAGGTATTCTTTAAGAAGAGGAAGAAGAAAAAGGTAAAGATAAAAGTTATGAATAGCAAATACATATCTATCAACAAGTGAATCTAAAAATCAAGTGAATAAAAAAATGTGATGAACAGAGTAAACTGGTGAATATAATAGAACCAGGGGTACGGAAAGGGAGTGGACTGACAATTCTTGGGGGGAAAGGTGTGTGGGGGTTCAGGAAGAGACTAGACAAAAATCGTACACCTATGGATGAGGATAGTGGGAGGGGTAAGGGCAGAGGGTGGGGTGGGAACTGGGTGGAGGAAAGCTATGGGGGGAAAAAAAGAGGAACACCTGTAATAATCTGAACAATAAAGGTTTAATTAAAAAAAATAAAAATAAATGGAATAGTGCATAAGGGAGTCTTTATGGGGTATCATAAATGTCTATATCTTCCATCTGGATGGCAATTACATATGTAACAATTCATGGATCTGTACACTTAAGATTTATGTAATTTACTGCACATAAAGTATATCTGAATAAAAAAGAAAATCTTGTACTTCTAAAAAATGAAGAGATATTAGGTTTATATATATATATATATATATGAGATTAAATGACAGATTTATGGGTATAATTCTAAAATATGTCAATATTTATTTATTTATATAACCCATTCTACTTATCAATTGTTTCAGTGTACATAAATGCTTCAAGGCAGATCAGAAACTTTAACAATGTTGGTCAACTCTGAATAAAACAAATTGTCTTTATTGTGCCACCTACTAAATAAAGGGAAGATTTACAATATATATGCTGATAAGAGTCATCTCTAATTTTCACAATTTAAAACAATATAAAGTCTCCTCGAGTTTATTCTGAATAAAATAAGTGTTATTTTATTCCCTGAACCAAATTAATTCAAAGTTCTTTTTTTATCCTGGTCTAATACACTGTTATAATTAATTTTTTTGTTATAATTTATATACCACATGCCCAAGAATAATTTCTCAAATTCTATCTTACTCTAGGAAAAATTTTAAATGGATAGTGATTTCTCAGTATGTCCCCAGACCCAGATATATTTCAATTACTATTTGTAATAATAGTGCTATGGACTCTCTTCCTACTTAAAAGTTTTCTGCCACTTGACATTTTCTTAGTTAACTTTTACAGTTAATACCTGCCGTCAGGGGTATTGAATACATTGTCATATATTATATAATTTTCAGAACTGAGCATATACAGTAAATGCCTAATAATACTGGCAGGACCTCACATTTGAAACCCTAATATTTCTTTAAACTTGAAATTCTTAATAATTTAAATGTGTCATATATTAACAATGTGCAAGGCCCTGCTGGAGATTCAAAAATAAATAAGATGTGGTCTCTTCCTTTAAAAAACTCAGTGGGTACTAGACTTTGGGGGTGGGGGACATCACTTCATGAGTTATACAAATGTGTAACAACTGTACACCTGAAATATAATAATGAATTTCAACTATAATTGAAAATTTTTAATTTTTTTAAAAGTTCAAAATCTAAAGAGAACTGTAGACATGTAAAAAATTAATGAAAATTAATTTGAGAGAAATTATGCTTAAAAACACAAAATTAACTGAATGTAGCACATAGTAGGCACTCAATAAATATTTGTTCAAATAATGAAATGAAAGGATAAGATTTATCTACTTGAAGGAGAGAGCATTTGAGATGAACTAAATCTTGAAAAAAAGACAAATATTCAATAGATCAACATTTAGCACAGATTACTTCAGGGAGAGAAGATCACTTACAGATGAGAAGACAGGACTGGGGAAGGGAAAATGTGGAGTTAAATGGGTATTAAGTTTCAGTTCTGCAAGATGAAAAAGTTCTGCAGATTGACTGCACAACAATGTGAGCATACTTAACACCACTGAACTATACACTTAAAAATGATTAAGGCCCGGCCGGTGTTGCTCAGTGGTTGAGCATCGACATATGAACCAGGAGATCATGGTTTGATTCCCAGTCAGGACATATGCCTGGGCTGCAGGCTTGATCCCCAGTTGGGGTGTGCAGGAGGCAGTCGATCAATGTTTCTCTCTCATTGATGTTTCTATCTCTCTATCCCTCCTTCTTCCTCTCTCTCTAAAATCAATAAAAACATAGTTAAAAAAAGAAAGATAAGAAGGCAAATAAGTGGAGGACAAATTAGGGGATTTAGAAGGAAACAAAGGGTTTCAAGTAGAAAAAAGGAAAAGAAACTGAGAAGATACTGTTCGAAAGCACTGTTAATGAGACCACATAATAGAGTTTAGTATCAGCTGCTCAGACTTTATATACATATCAAGAGAAGCCTTCAAAGATATATAAGTAGGGAAATAAAATTATTATTTTAGTAAACTCACTCTAAAAGAAATCTGAGATCTGGCCCAGAGAACAGAGACACAGACAGCAGGACAGAAGACAAACTAGAAAGGACTGAAATAGTCCAGCTCTAAATAAAACCTGGGCTATAAGGATATGAAGAAAGGGAAGGATGCAGAGACGCTGAATCAAATGAGACCTGGGAAGTTGTCACTGAATTTCTACAATTAGTAGATCAATGGTTACTTTCAGGAGAGTGAGGAAGTAAAAAACAGAAATTACAGAATGAATAAATAAAGAATATTGGAAATATGTAGACTATTCCTGCTCAAGAAATGTGGCAATAAAAAGGAAAATGGGGATAGAATAGTTAGGGCAAGTAAACAAGGGACAAATTATTTAGTTTTTGTATTGAAAGGCATGTTTTGTTTTGTTCCGTTTTTAGGACCAGAAGAAATAAAATGTGAGGAGAATATATGCCACCTCTAGGCCTGGCACATAAAATTTCCTATATGATGTTCTGTGCTCCATCTTCCCCCGTCTGCCAGCTGGATGCCAATACCCAGGGTGACGTTGGAAACCACTTACTGAAGATACCAGAGCCTCCATCAGAGATGGGAGAACCACCCTACCATGACTGGATTGACAAGTGATAAATAAACTTCTATTGTGTAGAGCAACTGAGATTTAAAAAAGAAAAAAAGCTGGAGTGAGCTGAGAGGAGCAGGGGCCACGAGGATAAAACCCAGTGACAAGGACGAAAAGAAAGATGTAGTCATGCAGGCGTCACCGCTGTTATTCTGGAAACAAAATAGAAGTATCATATTTAATTACACTATGTAAAGAAGTGCCAAATAGAATTTAAGCAGAAAAATATTTACACAACCATTAACTTGAGAATTGTTTCTGAAGTGATATCTTCTATGACACTGTTTCCATTTTGCTAAATTACAAAAATGTCTTCAATATTCAAAATTTGTTTGAAATTAGTTAAACACTATAGGAAGGCCCTAATTTTCCCATTCAACTACTCAGACATATTTCTAAATTGCTTGTTACCCTATAAAGGCTGTTGAGAAAAGCAATAGAATTCATTTAGATGCTGAGGAAAAGTAAATAGATGATAGACTTCAAATGCTGCATTCTTTTACTCTCATTTTTCAACTAATAAAATGTCTTCTGAATAATACAGAGAAACTTTCTTACAAAGGTATGCCTGAGTTATCCGGCACAGACATTTAAATTAACGTTAGCATAACGTCCTTTAATGAGATACCTCCTTTTTGTACCTGTTGGGACTCCAAGGTATGGTTGGAGTCATAGTGATGTCTGGAAATAAAACCCCATTGTCCTTGATCCTGTCTAGCGCATAATGCATTTCACAGAGGGGTAATCGATTTAATTGAAACTGAAGTTCAACCTGAAACATAAGATTAAAAATAATTTTTTTAAGCATGAAAGTAAAGATCAGCACTTACAGCTTCCTAGAATACTTTGTGAAGATAATCTTTTAGGGGAACCAAGTTTAGAGATTCTTTTAAAGTACAATAATATTCTAACTAGAGGCCCGATGCACAAAATTTGTGCATGGGTAGAGTCCCTAGGCCTGGCCGGCGATTAGGGCTGATCTGCAGGGCGACCAGCAGGGCGATCAGCAGGGGGTGGAGGGGTCAGGGGGCCTCGCTAGCACCCGCCTTGGTGGGCCTGGGGCCTGTGGGCAGCTCCTGTGTTGAGTGTCTGCCCCCTGGTGGTCAGTGTGCATCATAGCAACCGGTCATTTAACCGGTTGTTCCGCCATTCGGTCGATTTGCATTTAGGCTTTTATTATATAGGATAATAATTATCATGGCTAATATTTGCTTAGTTTATTTAGTGCCAGGTACTATAATAAACACTTTACATATACTATCTCATTTAATAGTACCAATAATGTATATACTATCATTAACCACATTCTACACCTAAAGAAACCGAGGCACTAGGAAATTACTTAAGCTCTAAAGGTTATTTGATTACACCATTCCTATCAAGAACACATTTGCTACAATCAGTAGAACATCTGTGAAATATCATCTCTCAAGTGATAAAAACAGCCCTTAAGACACTATCAACTTCTATTAATAAACAATATTCACTATCTTATGGTTAAAAAGAAAAAATATTAGCTTTCCAGTTAAATATGGAACCTGAACACACAGTTCAGCAAAGAATCCAAAGATAAAGAGAACAGGAGCAGATACAACTTCAGATGAGAACTGTCCCAGGGTGTAACTTGGTTTCTATCTGTCCCTCCATCGCTGATTTTAAACTCTAATCAGAAAACTTGACCTTGTATAAAACTGGAACATTTCAGATGTTACTTAGATTAAAGAGAATTGCTTTTCTCTGAGAGTTACCAGAGGTTCAATTCTCCACCCATTAGTATAATACTTCGGGTTATGGCAGAAGAAAGAAAACCAAACCAGAAAAGTATCAGCTGATAAGGAGACTGTTGCCACACTTGGAACATACCTGTGTGTCACAGTCGGGCCGAAGATTAAGTTCTTCACAGCATTCCCTGGATATCCTTAAAAATATATATTCTTTTGTTTTTTCTTCAATAGTAGCTTCATAAACCTTCTCTTTGGTTCCCTGGGTCTGTACTAACTTCTCTTTAGGGACTGGTAATAAATAAACAGCATTGACTTTGGTCATCACAAGCCGTCCTGCCAAAGTATCTTCAGAAAGTGTTTCAGTAAGCTTAAAACGACCAAAAAGTTGTCCATTCTGAGCATACTTTGCACCTCCAGAAACTCCAGTGAGCATGAAGCTTGCCAGAATCTGCAATTGCACTTTAAGATTGAACCTAAATCAGAAGTGGAAAACGAGTTTGAATATTCTACATCAAAAACTTAAAAACTAGAAGAGTAATAGAAAATAAATCAAATATAAACATACAAAAAATTAAAACTTCATGATCAATTCCACTCTCTTGGGCTACAAAATACATACTGTCCAACTTTAATCCAAGCTGGAAACAAAACTTTTTTTTTAGTGAATTAACTCTCATTCAGTAACCAGACACACATTAAATTGTGTTGAATACACACAATTTTTAAAGTATGAACATTTAAATGAAGCTAAGTATGATTTTTTTTAATAAAATGAAATATTACATAAGTGTCTGACCACACCATTGGGACAAATAAGGCTTTAAAATCACCTAGAACCAGAAGGAAAGGCACTGCATGAAAACTCAATGGACTTTCATTAAACTGATGTTCTCCAAGTGGATTTTACCAAAAAATTCTAATCATAAATTTCTCTTTCAATGATTAACATTTCTCTGTTAATAACATCCAAAATAAATTCCCATTCATGGCTACATAGAGGCAAGGTTCAACCTTTCTAAAGACCCTTATTACAAACTGCCAAACAGCCCTCTAGAAATAGACCAACGTTGTTTGCCAACAGTGCTCATTTTGTATTGCAGATACTTTTAGCCCCCTCTTAAAGTGGCTTGAAGCTATTCCAAGGTGCTCTTGCAGTAAATTTTCATCTACTTAATTTCTTGATCAGAATCTGACCTCCACAAATTTGTAGGGTTCATTCTTTTTTCATTCAGATAAATTTCTACTTAAAAACAATAATCCATAAGCTTATTGATATTTAGTTATAAGTTCTAAAGTAATGTATATGGAATAATTTGTAAACTTTAATAAAATATTAAACAAACATAAGTTAATTTATAATATTTTCTAAATTTCTGGTATGGTATTCCAAAATGATCTCTTAAGATTCCTGTCACCCAGCCAGTGGGGCTCTGTGGTTGAGCGTCAACCCATGAACCAGAAGGTCATGGTTCGATTTCTGGTCAGAGCACAAGCCCAGGTTGCAGGCTCGTTCCCCAGTGGGGGCGTGTAGGAGGCAGCTGATCTCA